GGAATCTTCTGGAACTGGATCTCCTAATGTGAAGCAGGATGATGAGCAAACAGAAAGTTCGTCCCCTTTTTCGCTTGCTGACCAAGATTCACACCGGGCGCCTGGGAAGCCTTCTGCTGCTAAGCGTCGCCTGTATGAATCTTAGGGTATAAATTCAAGTCTGATCCCTTTGTGTGTTATTTATTAGTTTTGAATGTTGATTGGTTATGTTATTTACTAGATCTAAGTTATGCTAGGTGCAGGAAAGGTGGTTGCCTTTTGTGGATGCTGGATTTGCTGCAAGGAGACAGTCCTTTTGATGGTGGGCAGGATGATTATGTTATTGATCGTTTAAAGTTGTGCTGGTTGGAGGGTTTGCAGCTCTTTTGTAAACTTCTTGGGAACCTGTTTGTAAACTTTGTTCTTGCCTTTCTTGGCTAATTTTGGCAACTTTGTGGAAATTATGTTGTTGGTTTCTAGACAAAACTAATGGTACTTCGGGTATCTGTTTATGAGGTGTAAGTTTTAAGTGCATGTAATTTTCTGTGCAAGATCAGGGTGGTCAGTTTGGACACCTGAAATGTTGTGACCCCAGTGTGGGCAAAATTCTGGCTTTTGGTCCCTCTTTTGTAGAATGTGAATGCTCAGCAGTTTTTATGCATTATCAAGGAATATAGTTTTTATCTAAGATGCCTGTGTTTTACATTTATGTCTTAACTGTATGTATATGCAAATATAACAAAAATGTTCTTTACATCATGTGATGGGAAAGAGCAAGCATTGTCCACAAGAAAAATATGATAAGAACAGGCGAGATTAGTAATGGATAGCAGACATGTGCTAATATTAAAAGGAATCTTTTGGGTTGCAAGATTTAAATAATTTGGGTTAATTATGTGCCCAAAATCTAAAGCATTAAATGCAAAGGCCATCATTGTTTATCCTTGGTTACAGAACCAGCACTCACAATGACTACTTGGATAGAGATTAGACACTTGATATAAAATTATATATTGATTGTATAATATCTTATCAAGGAACACATCAGATATCAAAGAGACTTCATCAATGGACCTTCAACTTTCTCTTTGCCCTCTGGTTTTTGCTCCTGTGTTCATCAAGTAATTCTGTTTGTGTCGACTTTTCCCCTTCAGTGGAGTATCAGCTAGCTGGGCTAGCTGGAGTATACAGCAAGGTAAGACCTACTGATCAGCTGTTTGGAGCTACACGTCAGAGACACTCATCATTGGTGATATAGACCACGTCATCAGATACAGTTAAGCATGTCTGTATTCGTTATTCTTCAGTTACACATTAATGGAACCTCTTTAAATGATTTGGATCCTCTTCTTTGTCTATCTGACCAAGACAGAACACTGAAGTTTGCAGTTATTGAACTTTTGTTTTTGGCTCATTTAAGTCTGACTGGATATCAAACATTTACTTCATGTGATCAGAATGACACCTAGAAAGAAGAGAGCGACTTCCAACCTGTTGAGGCGAAAGAGAGGTGACACTTCTTTCACAATCGAATCCTCCAGGAATCCAACACACAGCTTTACAGATATGAACGTGGATAACACCAGAGTAAACAAGAGATTGAGAAGCCTGCCGTTCATTCTCTCAGGGGAAATTTCAAAGTCGACAAATGCTCACAACAGTGAGTTCGTTCCTCCAGATCCTTATACAGAAATGGGTGGTGATGAGGCATCTTGCATTTTAGCTACAAATGATCGTCAATATCAAAAAGCAAAGAAAGCATCAGCTGATGTCCCAACTGCAAGGAAGCCATTGCACAATGATAGGCTGAGCGTTGGAAAACCTGACTGTGTATGTCAGTTCTGTGGTGCTTTTTTTTGGTATGCTGAACGATTGGATCGACACAGGAAATCCTTAAATCCTGTGTATACTCTTTGTTGTCAAAAAGGACTTACCCTAAGTTAACCCTGGCTTACATAAACTACCGATTGCTTTTTATGCCTTCTAGAATCGGCCGCGCAGTCAAGATACAATAAAAAAGGGGAACCAGGGTCTCGAAGAACTGGAAGCTTTCTTCTACCCAACAGATTTACAGTTGTATAGTACAACTGATACGTGAGATTCCGTGGACCCACACAAAATGGACCCGAACGAACTGAAAGGTAAATACATTGAATCTGGAAAGAAATCCAACAAACACATCTCGATTCCTATGCGAGTTTTTTCCATTTATTATTTATCGATTCGTCTTTAATCGCGTTGCAGAGTCCATTGATTCAAGCATGTGCTTTCGGGGACTGCGTTTGGGAACAAACAATCGAACCGTTATAGCTAGACATGTCGTTACATGGACTGAGTTCCGAGAAGTGCCTTTATCCACATGGAAGAAAAGGACACATCACATGCTCTGGCTTGACAAAAAGGTTTGACTCCAGATACCCCAACCATATTCATAAATATTCGTCAGAGCATTTGATTTAGTGTTAAGACAAAAGAACTTGCCAATATACAAACCCTAAACATCAATTAACCTACTGGCGAATGCTAAAAGATGAAAAACTCTTGACAACATATCTATCTACCATTGACTTTACAGAACAAGTTGATCGAAGCTCAGGTTGAAGAAGAAGATGCAGATGAGGTTTTTAAGAAAATTAAGGTTGGCTGCCTGCATGAACTACAAGATATTGTAGCAGGTCCAGCAAGGTCAGTGCAACGCGTTGTCCATCGAGAGTTCCGCCTGCTCCTCACTTCAGATCAAATTAGGAGGCACATTGAAGAAGGAAATGGACCCCAGCAATTCCCAACAGGATCATACACAGCAGCCGATTTTTCCATTGTGCCTCAAACATCAGAAGACTTTGTCTGCCATTCAGGTAAATATATGTCTCTCTATCCATGATTAAGAACACCATTAAACAAAGCATAACAAACATTAAATCTGTAGATGTTACAGGATGTGTTAGAAGACTAACTCATCCAGAAACAATTAAAGGAAGGATTCGGAAATTTGACCTGGTCATACAAGATGTCTGGTATGCTCTTAGGATTGCACACTTTTTTTTACTTTGTAAAAATGTATAGTTAACACATTGCTTTGCAATCAGTGGGGCAAAGGCTTATGTTGAATACAGTGGCCATGACATTGATGATTTTCAATAGCATGCTCCAGCAATTGAGGCAAAGTTACCATTGATTGTGACAATCAAATCAGTTAGTAGAGTAACTCCTAGACATAACAGTAAGTACCAGCATGAATTTCGATCCACAATTGCAAGTAAGCTCATCATCCATTCTTATCAGGACTGCCGCAAGGATATCATGAACATGTGAGTTGCTGTATATGGGTTTACCCAACTGATTGGTTCAACTACTATCGAGTTAGTGATACTTACACATTTCTTTTCAACATGTAGCTTTCTTGCATGTCGCAAACCAGTTTACTTCATCGATGATGCTACTTGCAAAAAAACTGGACACTTGCTGAGCAATCAACTGCAAAAGAAATCGTTGAGAGAGATAAAAGAAAGGATGGAGGACCTGTCAGATTTCACAGAGGTAAACGAACAAACACCAGCATTGACATCAGCTGTATATTTCCATCTGTTTACCTATATAATACATTTGAAAGTTTTTGCAACAGGTTACTTACATGACATTGATTAACATTCCAAGGTTTATATACAGAAAAAGCATATGCAAAATTCGTGGAGAGAACACAGGGTAAGCTTTTGACCATTCTCCCACGTTTACACATGGCATAATAATACTCTTTGTATAAACCTAACAAAAAGATCTTTATTGCAAGACTCACATACAAACTGGAAGGGAAATGTCGCCAAGGAAGATCTGAAATAGATGTGGTGTTTAAGCATGAAGCAGCTCTGTCGCTTATTCGTAAGTCACCGTCAGAATATCAGTTTCTGAACAAGGACCAAATCATCAAATTGATCGCAAAGAACTGTAACAAAAAATTTGCTGCGGAATTGACCGTCGCATGGAAAAAGGTGGGGGACAGTGATTCAGACATGCAACCAAAAGCGACAGTGCTCACCCTGTGGGATCGATCAGCATTCGAGAAATGATGTTGTCCTTCGAAGCTTGCCATTTTGATATCTTCTGAAAACATTTTGTCCTACTGTTTTTTGAATCTTCAGTCTCCGCCATGGAACTTTTATTAATTTAGTAGATACATTGTGGAAAACTTGGCCACGCTCATAACAACATTCATGTTTATTCTGCAAACCCAGTCAATCTTTTGCATAATGACCGCAGTTTTTATGTTTATGACAACATTTATGTCTATATTTAGAACATAACGATTATGGTTATAGATTATATTAAATCTCATTTAAATTATGACAGAAATAGTATCCCGCAGCGGAGCGCGGGCTAAATCCTAGTATCAATATAATAGGGATGGGATTAGGTGCTAATCCTTAAAGGGGTTAGCACCGTGATAACTAGCAAAAAACGCTACTAAAAATAACGAAATCACTACGGATTATTATAAAATCGATACAACATCTAAGCTAAATCACTACTAATTCAAACTAGTAGTAGTTTTTCCCTTGGTTAGGACGGTGCTAACTATTGTACAATTAGCACCGTAACCGCTCCCCAATATAATACCCTTCCCTGCCTCGCTAATGCAATTTTTCGCTTTTTCACTAATTTCTCTCCCGCGATTACAGGGGTGCTTATATGGCTTCTCCACCACCTCTCTCACCCTCCTCCATCTTCTTATCTTTCTCAAAAACACTTTTCTTTCTTCTCTGATTCGATCCAATTGGCCGCAACTTCCCGCCGATTCGTGAAACCTAGGGTTTCACTGCGGAACCACACGTTCATTCTCTCGCGCGCTGATTTCTCCATTTCCGTGATCTCGTTGAGCGGACGGACGGGGATTGTTTGATTTGGAGAGGCCGTGGGGTCAGAATACTCTCTATTGAGGCTGTAAGGTTTGTGCCTGCTCTGCAGATCTGAAGTCGAGGTTACTGGAACGGACGGGCGATTGATTCCCTTTGGTGAATTATTCAAAGATGTTTTGGCGTATGGCTGGCCTCTCCACTGCTTCGCCGGTGACATTTCTCGACCTTTTTCTCTCCTATCCATTGCGTGTTTCTTTTGTTATCGTTTTGGGATTCGTGTACTTGCGGCGAAGAAATACGCTGGATTTGCGAGAGCTTGTGTAGAATTGGCAACCGGCGTTAGGGATTGTTTCCTGCTTACTCTCTGAATTATTCGGTTTGGTTGATTGGACAAGGGTAGTAACGGACAAATAAGTGACATCTTTGATTGGAGTCCTCGTTAGTGATCGGAAACTGCAACTTCTTTGCCTAATTCGAGACTTAATTATGTATTACATTGCCAATTCAGCTTTACACTTCTGTCTACTAATTGGGGATGAGATCATATTTAGTGGGATATCGGTTTTCAGTTTTCACCTTTTCCAGCAGGGAGGTAGCTTCCTTGTGTTGTTCTGCAAGGTTTTGTTGCGGCACACTCTGCTACTTTTCAGTTTCTGAGCAGTTGGCAGTATTTTGCCCTCATGCCGTATCTCTTTAGGCCAGAATCATGCTGGCAGCCATTTATCAGAAATCCTGCGTCTTTATCATTTCCCCCCTTTCTCGAACACATTTTTCTTGTGATTAGATTCTGAAGCACGGATTCTTGGGTCATCCGGACACTGTTTGGAGTTTTTGGTGAATATGAGTTGAGTCAGTATATATTGGATTTCCATTCTCACCTGGAATGGGGTCTTAAAGTCAAGATGGCTAGTTTACTAGTAGTTACACTATAGTTTTCTTTTGCCTGGTGTTTCGTGGATTTTTTCAGTATGGACAAGGAGTGTGATTTTTGCTGAACCAGGGCATTTGAGCTGTGTTTTTATCTTCCATTCAACTTAAAAACATTTCATTTAGTCTCGGTTTCTCAAGCTAGTTTATGTGAAGCTGCAGGTGGAGACAATATTGGACAAAAGTAATTTTACTCTAGAGGAGCTGCTGGACGAGGATGAAATAATTCAAGAATGCAAGGCACTCAATGGGCGCCTGATCAACTTGTATTGCTCTTTCCTTTGTGCAGCTTAGACATTGTTATAATGTTTTTCCTTATATGCATGTGCAGCAAAGGCCTCAGACCTGACAAGTTTAGGTGTTATGTCAAACAAAAGTAACAGTCAAAGAAAAGATAAGACTGATTGCTTATGAAATGCTTTAGATAGCTATAAAAGAGTTACATCATTTTTATTTGTAAAGCTTTTACCATGATTTACTTTGGACGAGAACACAAATTAGTATGTAAATTTGTCTGTTCTGATAACTTCGTTGATCCCATAGGCATGAGATAGAACTTTAGAGGCCATGTTCTGAAAGTCACCTGATCTAGTTTCCATTTTAAGGTGGTTGCTAGGGAACAATGATCTTTTTTAGCCTAGTCCACTGAAACAACCTTGGCTTTTGTCAGATTATCTGTTCCTCTTCAGTATCTAAGTGAAATTTTTTTTTTTTTTTTTAAATTACCATGCATAAGATGCTGAAGCCTCTAGTTTCCAGGTAGAAGCTTTGTGGTGCAAATTTATTCTTTAACTGGTTTATATGGCTGTTGACTTCACCTTTTCCTATCCGAAATCTCAGTTTGCGAGAAAAGGCTCAGGTGGAGCAGTTGATTCGATATATTGTGGAAGAGCCTACAGAAGATGCCGAGAAACGGCGGGCATTCAAGTAGGTTTCTTTGCCATTTGTTGTCCCGACGTCACTTTTTCATTATGTTTCTTCTTTTTAGCTTTCCTTAGTGAAGATTGGCTTTTCTGATATCTCTTTATGCTCGCACTGATATTCTGTTTCATACACAGGCTCCCGTTTATTGCTTGTGAGATATTTACTTGTGAAGTTGATATCATTCTGAAAACTTTGGTCGAAGACGAGGAGGTAATTGCAAAAGCTATTCCTATCTTACCTGACTATTTGTACCGATATCTCCTACTTCCAAGATACAACTGTGGTTGCTGAGCTTTCTAATTACTTTTGTGGCAGTTGATGAACTTGTTGTTTTCTTTCTTGGAGCCAACCCATTCCCATGGGACACTGTTAGCAGGTTACTTCAGCAAGGTATCTTCTGGTGAAAGTTTGAGATGCTACTATCACAATCTTTCACTCTCATATATTTCTGTATGGGTGGATTCATCATCTTATGAAATCAAACCTTATTTTGCTAGGTTTGCATATGCCTTTTGCTGCGAAAGACGGTTCCTTTCTTAAATTATGTAAAGGTAGGTTTTGTCCTTATATGAAGGGAAATCCCTGATTGGATGCTGTTATTAGGTGTCAATTATTCTTGGCTGTAGTCCCTTATTAGTTTTAACTTTGAAATTTGTTCGTACTGTGGTCGTTGCTTTTTTATAAGCGCACAGCATTTCCTGGGTGGGAACTGGGAACGAGGTAGCATGTTGTCCGTGTCAGAAAAATAATTATTGTAAATTGTATTTCTAAGCACTTCTTATCCGGTTATTTCATGTTCAAGACCTAAATATTAGTTCTTTTGATTGATAAAGGGAGCCAAACATTTGTGAAATTAGAAGTTAGGTGACCACATTTCACCAAATAAGGCATGGGAATGTTAGTGTTAGTTAATCTTATACAATATTTAATGTAAGAGCCATCAATACTGCCTGAACCACTGATGTAGTTATGTTTTTCTGCTGGTTGAAATGTACGTTGTATTCATTAGTCAGTAATAATGATAGAAATGATAATGATAATTACTCATTCTCCTCTGTCTTTCTGTTGTAAATGTGGCTGTTAATTTGCTTTCCTTATGTTATGTTGCAGGGTCATCAGGAAATTCTTGCAAAGCTGGTTGACCTTATTGGTATTACCTCTATAATGGAGGTTGGTTGTTCTTGACTTGCTTACTTTTGTAATAATGATTTGTCCACTACTTGTATGGTAGTATTAGCAGTCAGTCATGTTTTTATATTATGATGCCACATTTGTCTATTCGAACCTTTTCTTATAACAGCATGTCTGCTTTTGTCTTAATTATGGGTGGATTTGTCTTATCTGGAATTAAGTTGGAAAAATACTTCAAGCAAACACACTTCTTTAATCTTCTTTTTTTGGACAACTATTCATGGTGGACTCCACAACTATTCATCAGTGAAAAATGTTATTTCCTACTTTACCCTTTCAAATAATAATATAATTTAAGAGTTATGATCCCTGTATCATTTCCCAAAACTCACCCATTCCTTGATCATTAAAAAAATTATTTACCATTTCTTCAATTACTTTTGATTACTAGACAATATATTCGATGAACTCTACTTTTCCTTGAATTTTCCTCAATACACTTGTCTTCTCTTGTCCTCAATTTAAATTTTAGTTCCTTATTTTTGTTAAAAAGGGGAACAGGCAAGTGCACCCTGGTATGTCTTGATGCATTGCTTTTCTGGGTAGGGAGAAATTGAAATACCGTTTGTCTGACATTCTCTACATATTTTCACATATAATCTGGAAAGTACTTATGCTCTTTCTGAATTTTGCATATAACCCTTTTTTCCCTGAGAAATCAAGAAATTGGTAGAGTACAGTTTTTTTTTTATCTGGACTTGATGTAGTTTAGTTTGTAAAAGCTTTTGAGTAGTTTCAATCTCTTTGTGCAGGTATTAATTCGGTTGATTGGTGCTGATGAACATTTGTACTCGAGTTACGCAGATGACATGCAGTGGATACAGGATACAAGTGTTCTGGAGTTGATTGTCGACAAGTTCAGCTCATCTGTAAGTTGTGACTTGCGAGTACTGCATCATGGATGAATTTTAGGTTTTTGGCTTGCTGAATGAAGTTGTTTTCCTACGTTCAAGTTAAATAGTCCACCAAGCAATTTTATGTGTTGCATTGTACAGGATTGTCCAGAGGTGCATGCTAATACGGCTGAGACCCTTTGTGCAATAACGCGATTTGCTCCCCCTGGTCTTGCTGCCAAAATATCTAGCCCAAAGTAGGACTCTTGCTATTGTCCATCTTTACATTTTTGTAGTATCACTAGCTCCCTTTGTTGATTTGTGGATATTCTTTACTTTCTGGTAATGCAGTTTCATTGGAAGGTTGTTTCGACACGCGCTAGAAGAATCGAGGCCGAAATCTGTACTAGTTAACTCACTATCAATATGTATATCTTTGTTAGACCCTCGGAGGTTAAATTTGGGGACGTATCATACATTCAATCGCCAGCTGAATCATGGATCTGCTGTAAGTGCTAGTCCAACCACTGTTGAGGGGATGCTGGAAAGCTTAGGTATGCCCTTTTCAAGATTCTAGTATTTCGGAGAACCTATAATAATTCTGTAATGCAGCAATGCCTCTTTCTGGCTTTTCTGTGTTTCTTATATGAGGAAATATAGCCTTATTTGGTCTTTCAATTTTGAAGGGAGGTACTTCTCAAGTATCTTGATAGATATATGTTGTTGGCATAATGTTTAGCCTTCTAAGAGTGGGGTCATGACATGCAGCATCTGTGTAGGTCTTAGGAGTATTTCTATTGGCAATGATTGAACATCTGCCTTTCTTGTCAGGTGACCTTCTGAAGCTGTTGGATGTTTCATCAACAGAGAATGTCTTGTTAACTACATATGGAAAGTTGCAGCCACCTCTCGGCAAGCATCGTTTAAAGGTTACATCTGTTTTCTTTTTCATGTATTATTTTTGAAATATGAAAGCATTTCTTTTATTCCCATTCTTTGATTCATATGCTGAATCTGGTTTATTGTATTTCCTTTCCAAGAATATGGTTGTTAGTGGTTTTAAGACACTTGACATGTTTTTCCATATTAGCATATATCAAGCATCAATTTTTAACTTGACAGCATTCAACTTAAATTTACTTTCAGATTGTGGAATTCATATCAGTCATCCTAACCATTGGTAGTGAAGCTGCCGAGAAGGAATTAGTTCGACTTGGAGCCATACAAAGGATCTTAGACTTGTTTTTTGAGTAAGTTTTGGACTTTTGGTCCTAGTTTGTGTCTTGAGTTTTGACCCCTGGTTTATTCACTCATTTTCTATCTGTGTAGGTATCCCTACAATAATTTCTTGCACCACCATGTAGAGAGCATTATATTTTCGTGTTTCGAGAGCAAGAATGGTGGTCTTTGTGAGCATCTTCTTCGTGAATGTAGTCTTGTGACAAAAATACTTGAAGCTGAAACAAACTTCAAGTTAGCAACTGACTCAAGCAAGGTATAGAAACATCTTAGGTTCACGCTGGTCTCTTGAGATATTCATTTTGTCTTTTCATATTATGATGTCTGAACATCACATTTGTTTCAATGGTTGCAGCCAACTGTCCCTGCCGAGGGTAGATCGCCACCTAGGATCGGGAATATTGGACACTTGACACGTGTATCTAACAAACTGGTTCAGTTGGCAAATAACAACTCTGCTGTTCAATCACTTCTGCAGGTTAATATAAATTTCCTGAGAGATTTAATAAACCTGAATTTTAAACCTTAAACATCTGTACTTGAAGTTTTTGTGCCTTATTGTTCATTTTAAGTAGGTTTGATATATTTCTTTTATTATGAATAATTTAGTAAATTTTGTTAGGGTCAGTTATGCATGACAATCTTTCATCCGTTTGACTTTGTTCTTTTTATGACTAATACTCAATGGATTGTTGCAGGAAAATACTCAATGGATTGATTGGCAAACATCTGTCTTGACCAAGCGGAATGTGGTGGAAAATGTCTACCAGTGGGGCTGTGGGTAGGTTCTCTTTTCTGTCTAGTGAACTATTAGTTCTGGAAACTTCTTGTCTTCTTGATCAAATGGAAAAGAGAGGGAAGGGAGAAGAGAGAGGAAGTATTTCTAAATTGTATTTGCAACAAAAGCCTTTTAGAGTACACTATATTTTGGAAGAGTTTCCTAGTGGTGGTTATATCTGGAAGTTGGTACATTGGCTGTTGTGTCATCAACCTCAAACCTCTATTTACAGCATAGTAATGGTATATTTTGGTTTCAATCTCCTGCGTTCCTTTTTCACTGAGTTTACTCTTGTAGCATATATACTTGCAAATGTGTTTGAGGTTTGCTTGTAGCATATATACATTAGTAGCAGTCGGTTGTGAGTGATGTTTTACCTTCTTGTTCTCGGGTCATCATCTCACTGCGTTATGCAATTGGATTCATTTAGCTTTCTTCTGAGCATATGTGTTCTTGTAACAGGAGGCCAACTGCTCTGCAAGACCGGAGAGATAGTGATGATGATGATTATCAAGATAGAGACTATGATGTTGCAGCACTCGCAAATAATTTGAGTCAAGCATTCCGATATGGTATTTACAACAATGACGACGCGGATGAGGTATGCAATACAAAAGGATGGGGAAATTGTTTGCGATAATGGAAAATTTAGCATGTTTTTGCAGAATTGGTTAGCATTGAAGGCTTTCCTTGTCATGCTTATATACTCCATTGACAATGAGTGGGTCATTGGGTTGTTACTAGCACTATTTGATTGTCCCTCATTGTTACTGGATGTCGTGCCGGACCATCAGTTGACCTTGTCAAATGTTTGGGTCATTATATGGTTCATTAGAAACTCGCAACGGAAGATAAAAGAAATTACACTAGTGTTGCAACAACATCAAAACTTGCTTAGATTGTCTTTCCTACTCTGGATGGTACCAGTTTCTGGATGGAAACCAGTTTTCAGTTGCTAAAACTCTTGTTTTGTGAATTTCAGGTGCGTGGCTCACTTGAAAGAGATGACGAGGTAAAGTTCTTTGGCTTGCTAAGCAGAATACCTATTCTACTTGGAAGGAATACTATGTACAGTGGCTTTCAGATTCAGAGCTTTTTTCCTTTTCATTTACACTCTTGCAGGATGTCTACTTCGATGATGAATCTGCTGAAGTAGTCATATCTTCTCTGCGTTTGGGTGATGACCAGGACAGGTGAGCCTGTTTTCTGATTCTCAATTGTTTGTTATGCTATTATTCCATATCCTTGTTAGGGTCTTTTTTCGTGATTCCTTGATGGAAGTTGTCTTGCCATAATTAGTATGCATTTGAATGCGGAGACGTCTGATTTCTGGCAGACATTGCATTGAAACATCTCGTAATACAAGAGATAGTTTTACCCCGATCAAAGGATGAGTGACTTGTCAGCTGCAACTGTAATTGCATCAGCCATTCTGCATGGTGGTGCGATTGGGGGTCATTCTGCTTATAATATCACAATTGATTGTTCTTTCTTGGAAATGTAGTAGGATAGGAGGAAGAGGCTTTCTTCTTCAATTTCTGGTTATATATGCAAATCTATAACATATTTCCTTACCGTTACTATCTTAGCTCACCCTGGTTGTTCTTATCTGCTCAAATACTGGTTTATGCCTGAGTTGTGAGGTGTGTTGGGTATCTTGCAGCAGTTCGCTATTTACAAACTCCAACTGGTTTGCTTTTGAGGATGACAGAGCTGCTAACGAGAGGTCTGCTGGAGCACCTGCTTCTTCCTCACCGAATAATAATGATGAGGGTGGGACTGGTGGTGCTGCCGCTGATGTTAGCAACAAGGAGGATGTAGCCGCAGCTAGTGAAGATGATGATTTAGGTGACACAGCCACATCTTTACCACCATCGGTCGGCGTATGCAACAAGAACCTGGATGAGACGTCCGCAAACAGTAGTCTGTCTAAAGACTCGAATGAAGAAATGGAGACTGGAGCAAATGATAATAAACCACCTGCTTGGGTGGAATGGAGGGAAACACCTGACAATGTCGATGATGGTTCATCTGGTTCAAAGCAACCTCCTCCACCTCCCAACAACGAGGTTCAAATAGATGCAACCTCAAATCAGGCGGAGGATGGTCAGGAGGGCGGTCCAGAGTCTGTTAGTGAGCAGCAGTCGACTACTTCTCCAGCCGAAGCTCCCATGACTGACTCAGCCACATCTTCCAGTGGTTCAATAATCCCCATTGCGTCTATTGTTGCTGATGCCAAGACCACGGAAGTAGGAACTGCTGAAGATAAGGCGGCTGGAGAAGCGGCTAAAGCTGATGATGATGATGATGGCAAGGAAAAGAGCGACTAAATGTGAAGAATGATTCTTGACTGCAGAATCAATCAGTGGTCCTAATTCGGGCTAATTCCCGCCCTGCGCCAATGGATGGGGTTGGAAGAAGATGGGAGGATTGAGGATAGGAGCTCTCTGTTGAGACTCTACTTGAGAGCCTCCTTTGTAAATCTGTTGCAGGATTTGTTGTCTAGGGATAAAAGAATGGGTGGGAAGGATCAACTCTCTTCCCCAGCTCACAGCTTGGACGTGAGGTTTGCCACTGCCCCCGCTCCCAAGGAAGAGGGGGTTCACCATTTTCTCTCCTTTCAAGCCTTTTTTCCCCCTTTCTGGTTCCCCTCCCCCAACTCTATTTATAAATTTCTTTTTCTTTTTGTTCCTCTGTTTTTCTTTATATATTTTTTCTTCAACTTTAGGTGATCCAATGCTCTTATTGATAATTGTTTAGGGTTGTCGTAGCTCTGGTCGCCCTTCCCTCCCTCCCACAGCTCTTGTTTAGAAACTGGAATTTGTCAAAATGGTAAAAAAAAAATTACATGGGATTTTGTAGCATAAAGAACTGTTCATATTATAGCCCTTTGTCCATGCTTCCTCATCTTTTTGTCATCCTATTCCTTTCCAAGTTGATTCTGTATTAGGCGGCATTCTAGTGAAATTGTCCATCAAGGTACTATGGGTAAACATATCAACAAGAAACAGAGGATCTAGCTCTACAATGTTAAGTTCAAGCTACAAACACTCATAAGTTCAAGCTCCACTTCACTTGCAACATCAAAGTTACATTAAGAAAATGCATTATATTTTTGGAGTTCATTTGTTTCAAATATAATTTTGTGTTATTATCACATAATAATAGACAAAAAGTTGACTGAGATGACAATTTCTTATTGACCGTAATGTCATGACTCATGAAAACTCTTCCAACTCGGCAGTTCAGCACCATGTTTTTCAGCTTGTCATAGGCTAACATAAGTGTTAACGAGAACTTGAGAGTTGGCTGAGATTTCGTTTTTTTCTCAGGGTTGACTAATATTGTATCAAAGTTGAAAAATTTGGTTAATAAATTACAAAATGAGGATCAAAGGTTAACTGATTTGGCATCTTCATGTTGACTGCCATGTCACTAGAATGTGATGCTGCTAGTGCGTACCTGTTGTTTATTTCCAATCTAATGCCCTCTCTCAAAAGGAAGCAAGGAACTAGGAACTCTGAGCAGACATCGCATTAAGTACCCTAGTTCTGAAGTCCGAAGAATTACGGTTGAATGAAAGACGATATTTGTAGACTTGTCATTTGGGAAGAGTTTCCAAAGTGTTAGAAGAGTCCTTGTTTCGAGTTCTCGGGGTCAATTTAGAGGGCCCCATCGTCATCCTTGTTCACCGCAAAGTATACTGAATTTGAAGATACACCGTGATTGATCATTCTCGGGGTCAATCTAGCATGCCATGTAGGATTCGATCTGAATGTGAGGTGCTCGTTAATGTGCTGTCCCAAGGTCCTGAGGCTTGGCCGCAGCGATGCTTCTCGATGATGGTAGTTATGCATAAGATCTTCGACTCGACGACATTAGTTGAACTTCTTTGGATTCCTCGTAGCCATAATTATCGTGCAGATTGGGTGGCTCAGTCTCAGAATCATTCCATGCTCCCTCATGAATGGCTCACTATTCTTGAACCCATGTCTGATGAGACCGACCTTTGATTTTGTATCTGTAACTGGAAATGAATGAAAGATCCTACTCTGTGTCAATTTTTTTTTTTTTTTTTTATTAAAATCTTCGAAGCAACAGGATACCGAGAAAGGAAAACAAAAGCTGTCCACACATGCTTTTAACAAGACTGGTGACTCTTCTTCTGTGCGGTATTTGAAAGGAAAGAAAAAGGTTTTGTCACCAAAGGTTCTTTTTTTTTTTTTTTTTTTGAATAATACCAAAGGTTGATGGATCTGGTTTTAACAAGCCCTCTCTGATGAACAAGAATTCTGACGAGGCTAACGATAATGACAAAAGATGGTGATACTTTTTGTCTGTCTTATGTCAGGAATTTGGGAACCCCACAAAAAGCATGTTTCATGTGGGGGTCCAAAGTTACCACGTCTATCAATGCAAATGCAAATGCAAATGCAATTGCTCAATCTCATTCTGCCTGCCCCCAACACTTTGTGAGATAGATAAAAGAGAAGGGTCTTTCATTAAGCAGACGAATTTAGACACAGGCAAGACTCGAGAGGTAATTTGATTTCTCAAAACCCTCCTGACAGAAGAGCAAAGAAGAGGAAGAAACAAAATCCTAGGTTCTTACAATAATCTAACCTTAGCAAAACTGGTCTCAAAAGAATTCAAAATCTAAGTAAGGACCAGAACTTCTGTCAGAATCAGCAGCACTAGCTCCCTTACCATTGCTATTCTTGTTATTATTACATGCTGTAGGTGGTTGTGATGGCTTGGTAGGACTTCGATTCAAGATCGACATATCAATTGGTTTCGGGACTTCTGGTGGCTGAGTGCTTCGAATGAGAGCCCAATTCACGGTCTCGAAGAAAGGGTGCTGCTTTATCTCTGTAGCACCTTTCTTGAAGCCTAACCTCTTTGGAGGATCCTTCACGAGGAGACCACGGATCAAATCCTTGGCTGCAAAGCTTACAGATGATCCTTCAGGAAACTTCAGAGGCTGGCCTACCACATTACACAGTGTTTCACGGTTCCCATTCCCTTTGAATGGTGTCTTTCCATATAGCAGCTCATACAAGAAGATGCCAAATGTCCACCAATCCACTGCACTGCCGTGGCCATCCCCTCGTATGATTTCAGGAGCCAAGTACTCGTGGGTTCCAACGAATGACATGGACCGAGCTGTAGTTGGCTCCACGATAAGCACAGGAAGAGAATCTGAGCTTACCAAGTTGAGCTTTTTGTCACTCTTCACCTTCTTAGATGTTTTGGAGCTGCGGTTCATGAAGCGTGGCTTGAAGCAAGACGGCTGCAAACAAGCAGGTTCCACGCAGACAGGCAATTTACAAGCTGGATCTATGCACGAAGGCTGAATGCAGTAGGAAGATATTTGACAGGATGGATCGGCACTGGACTGAACCAGAGTGGCATTGACACAGCATCTTAACGACAAATCAAAATCCGAGAGCATGATATGACCGTCTTCTCTCACGAGTACATTTTCAGGCTTCAAATCTCTGTACACAACTCCCATCATGTGGAGATACTCCAGGGCAAGAAGCACTTGCGAAGCATAAAACCTGCAAAAGAGCCACACGACACATCATTCGGGAGATGAATCAAAACTTGACAAAGACTACACCTATAACTCTAGCTAAAGGGATTTCATATGTTGATGCGAATCCTTCTATCTATGGCATTCAAATAAAACATTCACCAAACAATGGACTCATTAGCAAAGTATCTCCAAGGCATTAGTTCAACTTCAATCAATGGACGAACCTGGCTGCTTGCTCGGTGAAATGCTTGCCAGGCTGGCGCTGCCTGAGCATGTGTAGATCTCCACCACTGCAAAACTCCATCAACAGACAAGAAAACTTGTCGGTCTCGAAATGGGAATACAAGGTAGGCAGAAACGGATGATCCAAAAGCCCCAAAATCTCCTTCTCAGTCTGAGCCCTCAACAGCTTCTTCCTCCCAGCCAACATCCCTTTATCCATCACCTTCATCGCAAACAAGCACCCTGTCCCTCTCAGCTCAGCCAAATACACACTCCCAATATCCCCACACCCCAGCTTCCTCAACAACCTAAAATGGGCCAACCCCAAAACCCCATTCCCCCCATCTTTCGCCGTAACGCTCTGTATCGCATCCCACCTAACATCATTCCCTCTGTGAGGCTTCGAAGGACACAAGCTCCTGAAACTACCACCCTCCCCATTCGACGAGTCCACAGTGCTCAAGCTCCCACCTTTCTCGCTGCTCTCTTTCCGCTCACTCCCCCCATTACTCACATTGCTCAAATTGCTGCTCCCAATGCTCTGGTGATCCGACCCGGACACCGTCCCGCAGCTGCTGCTGCACATGCTGATGCTCACGCTGTTGCTATTGCTGAGGCTGAGATCCCGGAAGCTGCCGCAGGCAGCCAGTGATTCCGCGGTGTCGCAAGTCTCCGTCTTTGGCTCGCTCATTGTGAAACAGAAAACAAAAAAGAGAGGAAAGAAGGCGCACGGAAGATGTTTGATGAAATGGGTAAGAGAGGGAAAAGTAGCGGATAAAGTCGGAGATTTCCCCTTTTGAGAAGATGGGGGTTTTAACGGAGAAAGAGGGTGGGTAAAAGGATTAACAAAAGGGGGAGCAAAGCGAGGATGGTGGTGGTGGTGGTCAAATTGGGGGAGGGTTTTGGGTTTGTGACCCGAGGCAGTCAAAGTTGGAGAGTGAGACGCGGGCTTAACTAATGGGAAACTGAGAAGGGTTTTTGTTTATTATATATTCGAAAAAACCACCTCGCATGCAACTTTTTGGAAAAACCAATCTAACAAATCCCACAATGATAATATTAATTTCCAGTCTCTGTCTGTGTTGCTCTTCTTCAGTAGATCTGCTGTCAATCCTCAGTGGTTCATTACTGTCTTAGGATATGCAGATCTTGGATTTGCGATCAGCTGCGCGCAGGCGCTGTCTAACTTTTGAGTGCTTATTTCTTTTGTAATAAAGGTTTCTGATTAAGACTAACGTGCTGATCTTGGAATGCTTTTGGCAGGGAAATTCTATTGCAAAAGATTATGACGAAGAAGCAAATGAAGGAGGAGAAGAAGAAGAAGGTGTAGTAGTACATAGAGGATGGATGAACCAAACCGCATATTGCTATACTGCTTTTGAGTTTTGTACTTAATAACTTGGCTAGAACATGATACTACTGGTGCCTACTTGCTGGTCCCATTTCCAATCCAATACTCGCTCTCGTTTTGGTGGGATTTGTTTGCTTGATCATGTCAAAACTGCTTGTATGTATGCAGAGACTTTTGGCTTTCATGAAAACTGCTGCTTCTTCAGTGACTCCGGAGGATATAGTGAAACAGTATAAAACGCCATCTACACATTTATACTCATCAAGTACTCCTGTGGACAGGACATTACTTTAGGAAAGGTGGAAGGTGATGCGAAGTGGTTTCATTTGTAAACTTACCACTGAATTCAATTCCTTTGGTAGGGTTTTGGCCTGCATACACCCATACAGTGAAGTATGCAGATAATTATAATGTGCAGGCTATTTGGACAGCGGCGAAGAAGCTGGCTGTTGATTGCAGTATTGAGGATGCTAAAGCTTGTCAGTATACTTCACTGGTACATGGAAAGCGGCGATATGGTGAGAATGAAACGCGATGTTTAACTTCTTAATAAGTTGTGATCAATGGTGGAGTTGCTTGTGATGAAGCTTTTCTCATTTTCTAAAATTTCTGTGTTCGAACTTTCAAGTTCAAGGGTGAATATGTATACTATGTTCTTACCATTTTAGCAGCTGTTCTCTAGTTCTAGCTTCAGTCACTGATTGATCTTCTAGATGCTGAAACCTGCATTAGTTGCGAAAGAATCCATAAGCTTCAACATTAACTGGTCTTTGGCCTTTATGAACGTCAATTATCAAGTGGGATGTATTTGGATTTGGGTAAATCTATCCCAAGAAGCACACTGTATGGCAGATTGTCTTACTCTTACATATACATATTTGTCTTATTTTCTCTGAAGATTTTCCAAGAATAGATATAATCCATTGTAAAATGTGCATGCTGTCTGATAAAAGGAGTAAACAGTGCATGCTAAATGTCTCTCTGATTAAGATATAGCTTGACAAATTTGTTGCTTCCTGATTTTGGCCGGTCCGGTATATGAAATTTAGGTAAAATATTACCCACAGCTGAATATTTGTGCATGAGCTACCCGTTTCATCAAGGGGACTGCAAACTCGAGTACTAATAGTTGCAACTCTGTGGGTTGACTTACCCTGAAGTCTAGTCTTCAGCTGGGATGAAGTACAGTCTTTAACTGGGGTGATCATTGATAAATCTGTACTGCTTCAATCTCTGTCACGAATACTAGTGTTTTGTTTACTTTATTTAGCTTATCAATCATGGTTACCATGCAAAATGTCGACTTCTGTTGTGGTGCTAATGATTTTAATTGCCTTAGGAAGAAGCTTGATGAGACGGGGAAAACGTGCTCATACAAAAAAAAGACCTTTTTTCAGCGAAGGTAATTGCACTTAACCTATAAACGTTGTTACCCTTATGGTGTTCAATGAATTTTGATCAGTAGAATGACCTGGATAAAACACTGTTTGGGTGAAGTTCTATCCAACAGCCCAAGTCATTGAGGTCTCCCCTTATTTATTCATGTGCTGTGCCTGTCATGCGAACAGCACAAGCGTTGCAAGGTCAGATAGTCTATCTGGCCTGTGGTAGTAACAAGGAAGCAAATATGTGACCATGTGGTTATCATTTGGTTTTTTTTTTTTTTTTTTTTTTTTTGCCTATACTTGGGGTGTAAGAAGCCAAATATGATGCAGGGAGAGGCCCTATTATGAAAAGGATGGATGCCATCAAATGAAGTGTACCTTCCTAAATTAGGTAGGAAGGTTAATGGTTTGCATTGTATGAGTTTGTTATCATCCATGGTATTTCTCAACATTTCGCTCTTTTGAGTTTTCTGCAAAGTGAGTTCACCGGTGATGCTTTGCTTCTAATTGTGCAGCATTCATCCATGTATATATCTTAAACTTTTACACTCGAATTATGTAAGGAATCATGTCTTGCCTATGAGATTGCAGCCTCGTATATCTGTCATGATTCCCAGTGCATGGATTTGTAATCTTATGCTCTGCTGATAAAGCGTTACTTTGGCAGAACGACTTCAACTTTGAGCAGAGGGATTGGATGACTGTTCAACCTCAGGAGCTGCGGAAAGATGGTTCAAAATTGGTGATTACACTAATACAAATAAGTTACAAAATGCAGAAATTATAAGACTTTGTTTTACACCTTTTCCATTGGTTCAATGTTGATCCCTACTGGCTCCTTTGGTGCTTCTGTAGATCATGAAGGTGGCTAGAGCCGATGACGATGACAACGAATTGGCCAACTAAATGCGAAGGCTTTTTTTTGTTTCTGCAGAATCAATCAACAGTTCTAACTTGGCTAACTCCCGCTCTCTGTTGAGTGACACTAGTTGAGTCTACTTCAGAACTTCATTTGTAAATCAGTTGCAGGATTTGTATTCTAGGGGCAAAGGTTAGTCCTTTCCTCCCTCAGGTCTTGTTTTGAAACTGAAATTTGTCAAATGGTAAATTACATGGGGTTCTGTAGCATAAAATTCTGTTCATATTATATCCCTTTGTCCTTGCTTCCTCATCTTTTTTGTCATCCTTTTCGTTTCCAAGTTGATTATATGTCGGGCAGCCTTCTAGTAAACTTGTTCATCAAGGTACTATGGGTAAACAAAGCTCTACAATGAAGGTCATTCTCGGGATACGAGTGGTTGTCCTATAACCCTAGTTTTAAACTTGTCGAAAAAAGTAACAATGGATGTAACTTGTCGTTAAGTTTTTGGATGAGAAAAAGTATTAATTTCGCTGAGAAGGCTAGATGGAAATTTCCTTGAGCATCACAACAAATCCCTCCATTCCCGATTCCATCCGAGCTGAGTAGTCCTGCATCCAGGAGCTGAGCCTGATGAGAAGGAAAGGCAACCAATATGCGCAGGTGGTCTTGGATTTCCAAGTAATCGTGCAAACATTACACTGCTCGTGGCATTTGGCAAAAATATCTTCTTCATCCATCTTTTTGTTGTTGAAGTTGTGATTGTTCCCTCTCCCTCCAAACAAACCAAATGATCATGTTGAATCTTCTTCACAGGGAAACAGCGTAATACTTCCTCCATCAAGTCTTGACATTTCGAATCTTCACAACGCAGAGAACTATCTGCCTCGAAACTTGGGAGCCAAAGATGTTTTCTCCACCCACAATCTCTCAAGATATGTTCTTGTGATTCTGAGAGACCACATAAAGGACATTTAGGTCCCCACGACTTCAATTAATTTCTTTAGGTTAACTCTCGTTGGTTAACCCGTTAGAGCTCAAAGTTTTTGAAAGTCCCATTTGATTTAGAGTCTGGTACATTTCTCAGCTCGAAATGTTCAAAAAGGATATCTCATTTATATATATTGAGTCCTTGGCTTGATCTGCAGGACATGTATACTTATCTCTGTACATAATTTTTGTGTTTTCGTCCTTAGCTTTTAAGAGCATCCATATGTATGCAAATAGAGGGAGTTGCAAATTAAGGTGGCATGTGCTTGTAAGTGGAAAAGTGGATGACACTAATGTGAGTTGTACTTCAAGAGATGCAAATTTGTAAATATATTTGCAAGTGACCAACTTTGTTTTTCTTTTCTTTCAACTATTTGTGTGGTAATGAAAAATAGATATGACTCACAATTGTAATTATATGTCATTGATTTAATAATATGAAAGTGATAAATAAGTTAATCGTTAAAGTTGATTAAAGACAATAAGAACAACACTTAGGGTCGTTTGGTTATGGTGATAGTTTTGGTGGGATTGTTACAATGGGTGCATTGTCGACAAGGTATTGTTTTTCTGAGTTTTTTTTCCCTGCAACATTGCATCCAATGTTTTGTTGATGTGATGGAAAGAATCACTCAAAATGAATGATATTACTATCTCATGTAAAACTTGAGATTGTTAAGATTGTTTAGTGAGGATTGTTTGATTCTTGTTTGTTCCAATTATATCCCTAGTTATTTATCTATATCCCATAATACCCTTCAAATTTTATTATCTGAACCGCTCTTAATTTTTTCCGGGAACACCCCATGCATAGTTCCCTCCACTCTTTTCGTCAATGTCTCTATACCACGTATCCTCAAAATTTAACACCCTCTCCCTTCAAAACTTCATCATCGATCTAACATCTTCAACTAGTGTATATATCCTCAAGTAGAATACATATGTCTATCGCTTAAAGAGGGGTAGAATTACCACAAATCAGTGCTCGTCTATAACCCTTTTAAAAGAGTTATAGGTATAATATGCCCCTCTATTATATCATTTTATCAAACATGTCTCTCTACTATTTTTTACATCAAACATGCCCCTATACTTTGAAAAAATCATCAAACATGCCCTTCTGTTAAAATTTTGATCCAAAACCCATTAAGCATGGCCAAATGGTTTGGGCGACATAAATGTCTAAAATATCCCTAATAATTTCACTTTAGGAACTTTTGGTTCTTTTGTATAGCCAAATAATTGTAATAATTTCACTTTGACGAGACCCAGAGAAATAAAACAGGGGACAAAACTAACATTTTACCTCCCATTTGCCGATATCGGATCATCTAAATATCGGTTCAACCATGATTGACGATTATTTCAATAAAATTTTTAAGAAAAGGTCATGTTTTATAATTTTTTCAAAGTATAGAGACATGTTTGATGTGAAAAATAGTAGAGGGACATGTTTGATAAAATGACATAGTAGATGACCATATTATACCTATAACTCTCCTTAAAAACAGGTAAAAGTGATATTTCCTAAAAAAAAGAAATACAACTTTTTAAATGCTTAAATAACTATCTCCAAAACCAAACAAGATAAACTACATTACATTAATTTTTTTAATTACATGTATAATACAATACATGCATTAATTAAATATCACCAAAACTAAACGACACTTTAAAATAACTTAAAGAAATGCTCTAACCAATTAATGGTTGATATCCTTCTATTTCTATCATCGCTCTTACGCTCTGTACCATCAAATCAGTCTTTTCAGCTTCCATCTTTGCTCTTTTTTTTTTTTTTTTTTTATATACAATCTCTCATAATTCATTTCGTTGTTCCAGGGGTGAATGGGAATAAACCAATTTTCGGAAAAATAAATAAAAGCAATTAGAACTACAGAAACGGAGCAAGAAAAAAAAAAAACGTAAAATCGACTTTTAGGGTTTTCTTTTCATCATCCCGACGGTTGTTTCGTCGCTGAGGTCAGCATTCTTCTCTTCCTCTCCTCTCTCCCCCTGTTGAACTGATTGGTAGTTCTTTTACAAGTATGTCGAGCTCTTCAATGGTCGAAATCAACGGCCAAAACAGTTCTACTCTCTTATCTTACTGTCGGTTGGGCGACTAGGCTTTTGGTTTCTCTCTCTGATCAAATTCAGCTCCTCGTTTGTTTCTTGGATTACTAGTGTGCCTGGGTTGCTGCTGCTGCTGTTGTTAGGCTCTCTTAGGCTAGGGTATGGCATCATCCGACGACGAGGCCGATGCAGGCCCGCAGTCTGTCTCTGATTACCATTTTGAGGATGACGAGCAAGAGCCAGTTTCCTTCTCCCTGCTACCCGTTCAATGGAGCGAGGGAAGCAAGTCTCCTGGCAATGAGAGTGAAAGCGTTAAGGGGATCTTTCTCCGCGGTGCTGCGGACGGTGGCCTACAGACTGTGTTCAAGCCTGTCAAGGCGTGGAAGTTTGATCTGTCTAATGCCATTCCAGTGATATCTGTCCTGACCAACGACAATTCTTGGATCAAACTGCTGAAGCCAAGGAAGAGTTTCGAGGGAATTATTAGGACCACATTGATAACTGTACAATTACTTCATTTCGTGAAGAGAAGTCCAGACTCGTCAGCAAAATCCATCTGGGACTATTTGTCCAAGACATTCAGGTCTGACATCATTGCATCATCCTTTTTTCTTTTACATATTTTGTTTCCCGTAACTCGCTTGCTTCAGCTTTACTTACATTGATTACTTGTTTTGGATCTGTAGTTCATACGAAGCTAGACCTTCTCAGGATGATTTGATAGACCACATGGATTTAATTAGTGAAGTTGCTGGTAGTGATGATTCGTTAAAGAAGTGCAAGGTTAGTATACCATTTTTTGCTTCTGATTCTGTTTTAAGTAATGAACTTTTCTTGGACTCTGGAAAGATTGAAATCCAACTGTAATGTCTATAATGGGTAATCATAATTTTGTCATTATCCATGTATATAAAGCATCTCTTAGTCGTGAAAAACCCAAGAACTGGAGAAGCATGTAAAACAACCTCGTTTTGATTTACAATACCTGGCCTTGCCTCTTAGTTTCCTGTGGCAGACCGATAGGTTCATATGCTCCTTGTTTCTGTATCAGTTTACGATATTTAACCACTATATTGTGAATTCTTATATAGTGCCTTTTGTTAACTTTTAATGAACAGTTCTTGCTCTCATTTCTGGAGGAGAAGCCTAGCAAGAAGTCAATGACTGATAAGGTTATCTGTTATTTCTTCTTCGGTGTGTTATATTTTGTTTGACCTTTTTCGCTTTCATTCTGATTAGTTGAAGTGAACCCCAACCCTGTATCAGGATAAGCAAACTCCCAATCTGTCTGGATTTCTTGTTGATGACACTGAGGAAGGTATATGTGAAGTTGAGGGGGAAGAAGATGAATCGAATGACGATGATTTGTTTGATACAGTTTGTGCGTTTTGTGACAATGGTGGTGAGCTTGTATGGTATGCTTCCTTATCTTTCTTGTCCAGTTTCTCTCTTGATGACTCTTCTATACTATTTCTGCCTAATCGAAGACTATAGTGTGTGTATATATATATATAACCACAAGGAACCGATTTTCAACTTGATTGTAGAGCGATGAAGTGATGCTTACTGGTTATTCTGTGGCTGTTTCAAAGCTTTATGGCTTAAAGTGATATTTCTCAACATATGAACTTTTCTGTTTGAACTAAGCTACTATGGTCTAAGAGGTTTACTATGTCCACTCTTGTAGTGTTGCGGATATTAATTACTTAGTCCAAGTAATTAATCCTTGTCCTCCAAGTCCCTTGTTTCCTTGTTCATGTAAAAGAAGGAAACTTGGTTGTCATTAGGGTTTTAACCCTACGTCTATCTCTTTATAAGTTTAGCTACGGAGATTGTCGTAAGTAAGCCGTCACAATGTAGTCGTTCAATAAAATGTCAGCCGTGAGCTCTTCCGAGCTCTCCGGGGATTAGTCCTGTTCATGTCGAACTGGGATACCACGTAAAACTCTCGTGTTCTGTGTTATTTCGTACTTCTGCGTTATCAAATTCTTCATGTAATTATAATCTTGATACCCCTTTTCCAGCTGGAGACTAAGCCAATGACATACTGATTGGTGGCTTAAAATGTGCTTATTAAAGTTTGACTTTAAATATTAAGAACTTAGCATCTTGAACCCTGTGTTTTTCTTGGCAAATACTTGACTTTTCAGCTATCTGTTTCTTAATCTTACAATGTTTTGCGACTTTTCAGCTAAGTTCTTTATTTTCTTTAATGTCGTTCAGAAGTTCCAACCTTCTGTCTGCTCTGGCTTTTATTTTGTATGATATTCAGCTGTGACGGCAAGTGTATGAGGTCATTTCATGCTACTGTGGAGGCTGGTGAAGAATCTTTATGTCGATCCCTGGGGTTTACTAAGAAAAAAGTTGATGTATGTTACTGTAACTTTTTTATTTTGTACATATCTTGATTTGTTTATGTAGCTATTTATCATTCCCTTGACGTATATGCAGGAAATTCAGAACTTCATCTGTAAGAATTGTGAGTATGAGCAGCACCAGTGCTTTGCTTGTGGAAACCTGGGTTGTTCGAAGAAATCTTCTGATGCTGAGGTATATAGTTCACACTCTGAAGTAGATAACTGAACGGTTTTGTTTATTAATATTCACCCGCATGCACTTCAAGTATTTGGAAAAAAATCAGTTTAGCAAATCCCACATGATATATTAATTCACAGTCTTTGTGATGATCTTCTTCTGTAGATCTGCTGTCAATGTCAAGTTCAGTGTTAGCTGTTGTATGTGGCCTTGCTTGTTGCCCTTTTCTGTCGTCCTTATGAGCTTTGCTAGTGAACCAACTCCACTGATGCCAAGTTTAATCCTCAGTGGTTCATTACTGTCTTAGAAAATCAGAACTCATGCAGTCACACTCCAGATGTATCCTACTAGATTGTAATTATCTCTTTTGATTTTGATGTACTCTTCATCGATTGCTCAACCATTTTATTTCAGGTCTTCCAATGTGCCAATGCCACTTGTGGCTACTTTTATCACCCACATTGTGTTGCAAAATTGCTTCACCCTGGCGATAAGGTTACTGCTGAGGAGCTTCAGAAAAAAATCGTTGCTCGGGAGGCTTTTTTGTGTCCCATCCATAAGTGTTTCCACTGCAAACAAGGAGAGAATAAGCAGATCTTGGATTTGCAATTTGCTGTGTGCAGGCGCTGCCCAACATCATTCCATCAGAAATGTCTGCCAAGGTGCTGTCTAACTTTTGAGTGCTTATTTCGTTTGTTATGAATGTTTATGATTGAGACTAACATATCAATGCTTGGTATGCATTCGTCAGGGAAATTCGTATTGCAAAAGATGACGATGAAGCAAATGAAAGAGAAGGACAAGAAGAAGAAGAAGAGGAAGGTGTAGTAGATAGAGGCTGGAGGAATTTGTTACCAAACCGCATATTGCTATACTGCTTGTGAGTTTTTACTTAATAACCTGGCTATGTGATACTGCTGGTGTGTACTTGTTGTTCACATTTCCAATCTAATACTCTCCCTTTTAAGGAAGCATAAGATTGAAGAGGACCTTGGAACTCCGAGCAGAAATCATATTAAGTTCCCAGGTTCTGAAATCAAAAGAATTACGGTTGAAGAGAAGACAAGCAAAGTGAAACATTTGTCCGAGAAAGGAACAGTATTAGCAGATGTGTCATCGGGGAAGACTGCTTCCAAAGGATCAACACTTCTTTCTTCAGCTTCGAAACAACAGGAAATCATTGAGAAAGGAAAACAGAAGTTGTCCTCCACACATTCGTTTAAGAAGACTGGTGACTCTTCTGTGAGGTCTTTGAAAGAAAGGAAAAAGGTTTTGTCACCAAAGGTTGATGGATCTGGTTCGAACAAGCCCTCTCTGGGTGACAAGTTATTTGATTATATGAATAAGAATTCTGATGAGAGGCATACAAAGCAAGTGAGAAATGACAGTGGGCTAAATAAAACAGGGACGGATATGGATGCTAAGAAAAATCTCACAGATCTGCCAAAATTAGATGCAGACTCAGAGAGGAGGTTGGATGCTTGTTGGATGATTCTGAATTAATGTGTAGTTACGTCTTCTTGAATCTTGACTCTTTTTGCTTGGATTTGTTGCTTGATCATGTCGAAAATGCTTGTATGCAGATTTTTGGCTTTAATGAAAACTGCTGCTTCTTCAGTAACTCTGGAGGATATTGTCAAGCAGTATAAACCGCCATCTACACATTGTTACTCATCAAGGGCTCCTGTGGACAAGACCATTACTCTGGGAAAGGTGGAAGGTGCAGTTGAGGTATGATCATGTGAAGTGGTTTCATCTGTAAACTCACCATTCAATTCAATTCCTTTGGTAGGGATTTAGCCTGAATGCAGTGAAGTATACATATAATTATGATGCGCAGGCTATTAGGACAGCAGCGAAGAAACTGGCTGATGATTGCAGTATTGAGGATGCCAAAGCTGTATGTGAACCAGGAGTTGTGAGCCAGGTTTTTAAGTGGAAGGTATTCCAAGTCTTGTATCTTCTCTGGTCATATTTTCTGGAAAGTTTGCCTTTGGATATTTTGTCTGTCTTGTCTGTTTTGGTTTGATGCTTCTTAATCCTCAATTCAGTCACTGCAACTTTGCTGACTACGGTGATTGGTTACTTATAGAATAAACTGAGGGTATATCTTGCCCCCTTCCTGCATGGTATGCGGTACACGTCTTTTGGCCGGCATTTTACGAAACCAGATAAACTTGCTGAGGTAATTTGCTTCGCCATTGCACTAGTTTTTGTCTAGTTTTTTATCAGGCCCTCTTCTAAAATTCATCACCTGAAACAGGCTCGATTTACTTTGCTTTGTATTGCTTAATATATTTTTTCCAATCCTTGGTATCTATCATCCTGAAACCATTAATCCTACATGTGAACAGCAGTTGTTTTTCCTAGTAAAATGATCCATAGGAAAGAGGTTGAAAGTGGCTGGGAAAACCATTTCAACTTGATGTTCTGAGTGATTCTACTGATAATGCTAGTTTTTCCTTTTTTGTTAATTACTTCTGCTGAAATTTTGGTATAGTCCTCGGCTTCCTTTGTCCTAAGCAAAATTCTGATGGATGATATACAAATTGCAGGTTGTCAATATACTTCACTGGTATGTGGAAAGCGGCGATATGGTGAGAATGAAAACATTATGTTTAACTTATTCATAAATTGTATTTGTAGGTGGAGTTGCTTTTGATGAAGTTTTTCTCATTTTCTCAAATTTCTGTGTTCGAACTTTCAAGTTTAAGCAGGTGAAAGTGTATACTGTCTTCTTAGATGATGAACCCTGCATCAGATGAGAAAGAATCCATACCCTTCAACATTAACTGCTCTTTTGCCTTGATGGATGTTAATTATTAAGTGGGATGTATTTGGATTTTGGAAAATCTATCCCAAGACACACTGTATGGCAGATTGTCTTATTTTGTAGGAAGATTCTACAAAAATAGATATATAATCTTTTTATATTTATAAGATATTATTCCGAGTATACAGTGCATGCATACTGTCTGATAAATAAAGGAGTAAATATTACAGGCTAAAATCTTTCTCTGATTAAAATATAGCTTGAAAAATTTGCTGCTTCCTGATTTTTACCGGTTCGATTCTAAGCAGAATTTCCCTTATCTCAAGCCAATATATGAAACTAGGTAAAATATTTGATGCATCAGACTATTAGTGCATGAGCTCCCCATCTTGTTCACAGCTATTTGCAAAGTCGAGTACTGATTTTTGCTATTCTGTGGGTTGACTTACTCTGAACTCTAGTCTTCCACTGGGCTGAAGTACAGTCTTCAACTAGGGTGATCACTGATAAATCGATACTACTTCAATCTCTGCCACAATTGCTGTTTTGTTAACTTTATATGCCTTATGTACTATGGTTACTGTGCAGATTGTCGACTTCTGTTGTGGTGCTAATGACTTCAGTTGCCTAATGAAGAAGAAGCTTGACGAGACGGGGAAAACCTGCTCATACAAAAACTACGATCTTTTTCCAGCGAAGGTAATTGCACTTAACATATAAATCCTGATAGTCTTCTGTGCCAATTCAGCACTACCCTTCCATTTAGGGCAACCTTCACTTGCTTCGTGAATTTTGATAAGTAATTCGGTATACTGACCTGAGTAAAGCACTGTTTGGATGGAGTTGTGGCCAACATCCCAAGTCATTGAGGTCGCCTGATTAATAAATTTGTGCCTGTCTGGGGAACAGCACAAGCACTGCATGGTCAGATGGTCCTGTTTGCCAATGGTAGTAATAAGAAGCAAATATGTGCCCATGTGGTAGTCATTTGGAAATTTTGTTGTAATAATTGGGTTTGGAAGGAGTCAAATATGATGCAGCGAGAGCCGAAAGGGCTTATTATGAAAAGGACGGATACCATCAAATGAACTGTACTTTCCTAAATTAGATAGGGAGGTTAATGGTGTGCGTGGTATGAGTTCGTTATTATCCTCTCAACGTTTAGCTCTTTTGAGTTTTCTGCAAAGTGAGTTCACTGGCAATGCTTTGCTCTTAAGTGTGCAGCATTCTTCTATTTATCTTAAACTTTACACTCGAACAATGTAAGGAATTATGTCTATCCAATGAGATTGAGGTCTCTTAATTTGTGATGATTTCCAGTGCATGGATTTGTAATCTTATGCTCTGCTGATAAAGTGTTTCTTTGGTAGAATGACTTCAACTTTGAGCAGAGGGATTGGATGACTGTTCAACCACAGGAGCTGCGGAAAGAAGGTTCAAAATTGGTAATTACACTAATACAAATAAATTAAAATTCCAGAAATGCTAAGCCTTTGTTTCCCCCCATTTCCATTGGTTCAATGTTTTAAACCCTCCTCTCGTGCTTTTGTAGATCATGGGGTTAAATCCTCCATTTGGGGTAAATGCAGCTTTGGCTAACCAGTTCATTGACAAGGCCCTTAAGTTTAAACCAAAGCTCCTTATTCTTATTGTGCCACCCGAAACTCAACGGTATAGGCCTTAACAGAAACTTTTTAGTTTTCACTTCTTTTTAATTCATAATCTCTGCCTCTCATTTACTTGGGAACATATTTTTACCAGGTTAGACAAAAAGAATCCTCCGTACGACCTTATCTGGGAAGATTATGAATCCTTTGGAGGAAAGGTAATATAAGTTTTGCTTCTATTCCTCTTTCATGCCTTTGTTTATTTGTTCTGTGATTTTCATTCTTTGATACAATTAAATTGTCTCCCAGTCATTTTATCTGCCTGGATCAGTCAATGAGACTGATAAACCCTTGGATCAATGGAACAATGTTGCACCGGTCCTCTATCTCTGGAGTCGGCGTGATTTTACTAAAACCCATAAGGCCATAGCTGAAAATCATGGTCATGTGCCAGGGCAACACAAAAGAACAGATATGAGAGACACTAATGGCAGTGAAGTGCAATGTCCCAGTAGTAATGCATCTGTACTGAGTGGCAATCAGGGTTCACATGATAACAAGGAATTACAAGGATTGGATGATAGGCTAACTGGAGTTCAAAGTCATAGAGAAGAGAGTCCCTCTACTGAATGCAGAGAGAGAAAAAGCCAAGGTGACCTAGGCTTGGATTGGAAGAAACAATCTGAAATAAAGAAATCAAATAAAAGGAAGAATGTTGAAGAAGAGAACCTTGAAAAAAGAGGAGCATCCGAGAATTCTGCAGGAGATAGCCGCAAAATAGGAAAGTTTGCTAGAAGATCCCCTCCTGTTTATCAAAGTCGGGGCCATGGCACAGAAAAGAGATATGCAGGTGGTGATACCTTAACGCACAAGGAAACAAGGTACCAAGAACTTCCATCCTATGATGAACAAATGCATGAGCGACGAGGAGCATCTGGGAATTTTAGAGGGGATAGCCAACAAGGAGCAGAACTTGCAAGAAGATCCCCTCGAATGCCATCGCCTTCACAGATGAGGGAAAGTGATTATCAATATGGAGGCCATGAGAGAGCTGGACCACCATATACCCATCATCATGCAGCACCAGCAGCAGCAGCAGCTTATGGTGATGGCAACCATGATGCTAACATGTGGCATGGCATAGATACAGGAGGGTACGAGGGATTGAGTTACAGGCAACATCGTCCCGAGACTCGGTATGATCAACCAACTGGAAATTATTTTGAGTCATCAGCACCACAGCCCTCCTATTTGAGGGATACCTATGAGCCACAATCGTCATCGTATGTAAGTAGTAGGTCTGTGATGGATAGGTATGCGCCGCAACTGAATGAATTGAATCAGCAACCGATGGCAGGAGGTTTCGGTTATGATCCACCTGTGATGATGAATGGAGGAGGTGGTGGGTATGATGCTCGAGGGCATCCTGGGACTGGAGCGTTCCAGGGTGACTCGATGCATCTTCCCCCTCATGGTCCTCTGCACCCGGGACCAGCATACGGGGCTGAGCAGGTATCTGGATTTCCCATCTTGGGTTTTGCTCCTGGTCCTCAGCCGCACCCATTTGGAGACCCCTACAACTCTGCCGGTTGGATGAATGACTGAGCCTGCAGGAATTCACTATTTTGGGTTTAAGTTGAAGTTGGAATAAATAATTGCATCAATAATTTCGTGAAAACAAAGCATCATGCTCTCGGTGTGTTTGGTAAATAGTGATGCATTGCATTCTGAAGCTTGGTTGCTACTGTAGGTTCTTTGCTAAGCTGCAACTGTTTTTTTTTTTTTTTTGGGGTAGAAACAACTGTTTTGTATTTGTTCCAACTGTTGGCTTGGCTGTATTTGCTCGGCTGCAAGCGCAACATCTGTAAGATTAGTCGAACTAGTTTCTGGGGAGATATATTTCAGCTCCAACCTTCGTATTTCACCCTTGCATGTAATGTAATATCTTTGTCGAATTATCACCTTTTTTTTTTCTTTCAATTCTTTAATCAAATAGGAGTTGTTGATACTATAATGTGTATGTAACCGAATTTACATACTAAATGTCTCAACTTATTCGCATAAACAGTCAAAATTGCACTTTAAAACTTAAAAATTTATGGTTTTACGCTTTTAGGTCACCAAATAACGCTTTTGTTTCTATATAAAATCTTTAGTGTGTAAAATAGGACTAAATTGTGTTTTAACTTAAAAACTTATACTTTTACACTTCTAGGTCACCAAAATGTTTTGCGCTTCTAATGATCAACTTTACGAAGATCCCATTGTACTCCGGAAGCTCGTAGCATTGGTCCTGATAAACCCCAATTTATTGCTTCCTCCGCGCCAACAATCCCTACCCCTTCAACTCGTTCTAAAAAAATAGGATTTCGCGTAATGAGTTTTTATCTAATTATTTTTATAGTTTCTAGATTTTTTGATAAATAAAACAACAAAACAGAAAAAGGAAGGAAATTTTGCGGAAGCTTTACAGAATTATTATGAAGCTATGCGACTCGAAATTGATCCCTATGATCGAAGTTATATACTCTATAATATAGGTCTTATTCACACAAGTAATGGAGAACACACAAAAGCTTTGGAATATTTAATGAAGACAATATTGCAGAATCCAAAGTAGCTCTAGTCTATGGTCAGATGAACGAACCGCCGGGAGCTCGTATGAGAGTTGGATTGACTGCACTAACCATGGCAGAATATTTCCGAGATGTTAATGAGCAAGATGTACTTCTATTTATTGCTTCTAGTTCACTAAATGAGTTTTCTTTTCATGGAATTAATTATAAAAAGTATATTTTAAAGGTAAATCACCAAAAATATGGTACAATTGAGATTAAAAGATACATACCAGGTAGTTGGATGCATTCTTAGTTTCAATGGAGTAATATAATTCACCAGATAAGCCCTTCCCAAATTCAATAGCATAGAGGGGAAGGTGGCTTATTGTTAAGACCTATGTTTATGAACTTATTGTCAAGAATCAAGATGTTATGAGTTGCTCTACTTTAGATATGAGGCAAATTGCAAGGTTGGTCACTGAAAGTACTAAAACATTCACGTTTGGTCACTAAAAGTATTTTATTCTATTCATGGTCACTAAAAGTATCTCTTCTGTTCAAGTTTGGTCACTCTCCGTTAGTCTCTATTAAGTTTCGCTGATGTGGTAGTCAACTATGATAATTGACTGTTAAAATAGCGACCTGGCAATTAAAAAAATTAAAAATTAAAACCTTACAATTTCCACCTCATTTTTATAACTATTAAGAAATAAATAAATAAATAACTTAATCCACCATCTCCGCCCTCTTCTTCCTCCTCTTCCTCACAACGAGAAGTAATCTCGCTTTGCACAAAGTCACTGAAAGAGTTGGGTTTCTTTCTTGTCCTGGGGGTAGTCGGAGCACTGCTCTGAGGACCAAATCTATACTTCACTAGCTTTACGGCTGGAATGGGACTCCGGCGGACTCTGGTTTAAGGATGTAAGGATGGAGGCTGGGATTGAGTTGAACCACAGACGCCCAGAAGAGATTGAAGAAATTTTGACATTTTCAGGCCCGGCACAATATGGGCTGTGTAGTCTGGGGCATGGTCCATGAAACCGTACCGGAGACCGTACCAGGAAACTCAGCGGTAGGGTAATTTATGGTAAAATCGTGGTTTAACCGTTGTACCGTTAAATACCGCCTATCGATTTAGCCTCCAATACTGGTATTTCCTGATTGAACCGCTGGTACGGTACGATTTCATGAACCAAGATCTAGGGGTGAAATGCAGACCCTGAAAACCCGAAGACCCGACCCGACCCGTCCCGTCCCTAAGAGTCGGGCCGGGTCAATTTGCATAGAGGGACAAGCTAGGGACAGGTTTCTCCTTGTCCGGACGGCCTAAAAAAGCCCATCTGACCCATCTGACCCGGAATCCCACTTCAGAGTTCAGACTTCAGACCCATGAGAAATTGAAAATTAACGATTCTTACATACCGTTTGGGAGAGAAATACACCCCATACCATTAAACTTTGAGAATTGGGACAAGGATACCACTAAAGTCAAGTTAGGGCATCTGGTACCATGTAAATCAATTAAATGTGCATCCTTCCATTTTTCCATCCATCTCACTAACGGAGAGAAAAAAAAACAAAAAAAATGCCAACTCATCACACACACGTCACCAATCTGGTGAGTCATTTATTTTTTTCCACCTCACCCTTGGAATCTCCCATCTATATACGAAGCAAAGAAAACCTAATAAGAATCCAAATATAAACCCCTTCCTCCCAAACACGTTCCACTCTGTCTTCCTCCCTTCTTCTCTATTTCCTAGCTGCAGAAGCAGAAAGACTAAAATATTTGTTTTCTACTTCTTGATTCCCATTAAACAAATCAACAAGAAGTACCATTTGTTTTTGCATAGTATTAATAAAACGCTTACAGTAGTTCTGAAAGAAACACATATGTTATCTATTTATGCAAACAGTAAACAATTTCCTGAAAGTATAACTCAACCAAATTCCTTGCCTACTAATTCAAACACTATTCTCGTGAAAGTGACGAGTAGTCCAAAAACACTAACTCCTCCACTTGATGTTCATCATAGATTTCCATTCTCCCCTCTCCTTCCGCCATTTTGGCTTCCTCCTCCACTTGATGTTCCTCTTCTAGGTACAAAAGGTTTCCTTCCATTTCCTGGTCTAGCCCATACCCGTTCTCCTTGATGGACCTAAAGATGGAAATTGATGGAACAAAATAATGAAGTTAGTTTAAATATCAATAAGACCATACATGATTTTTAGTTTAAAAGAGAATTAGTTACGAGCTGAATATATTCACCCGAAATCCCAAATTAGGTGGTGCTGAAGAGACAATGTTCATTGTTTGCTCGTTACGTAGTTGATTCACATCATAAGTGGGTTGAGTCAAGGGATGGCTTTGGCTAGTTCCCTAGACAAAGCAAAACCAGAACATATATTATAAAGTACTGCAAATCAAAGAGAATCAACATCTAAATTAAACTTACAACCCATATTTGGCTAGTTCCCTATCAAACCACGTATAGAATAAACCATTATTGTAGCTCTACCATTCCCTTCTAGCATTGTGAGAGAGAACTCATATTAAGAGCTGTTGTTCCACTAGTCAAATATAGAGATTGCTAGAAAATTAAAGATAAAGGAAAACATATACTGCAAAATAATACAAACAAGGTTAAAATTCAACTTACAGCCAATCTTGTTGGAGGATTGTTAATGCTTCCAGCTCCAATTGTTTCAAAGGGAGGAGACAAGCGTGCCGCCATTTCAGCAAGGTTCGAGTGTCTTCCTTCGGACCTATTAATCCCTTCTCCGGAATACCAAACATCAGTTGTGTTGGGTGTCATTGATGCTGGTTGCGACCCTTGATTGGCTCCAACTCCAGCTGGTTCATTTCTTGCACCACCTGGTTCATTATCGACTCTATATCGTGGATTTCCAGCACGATGTGCACTCTTGTTGTGACCCTCTCCACCACATTGACTACAATGAATTTTTCCCTTTTTCTTGTTCATTCTTTGATTGTTGGACCTCTGCTTTCTTGGTCGTCTTTGTTGGCTCTCCAATACCTCCTCCGGCCCTTTTCTCCTATTTATCCTACGTCTCCCCCTTCTTGCCTTAGCATCGATGCTAACATAGGGTGGTATTACAGGGTCTTGGTTGCTATCTCTCCATGATTCAGGCCCAACCATGGATGCCAATGTGTAATTATAAATACTAACATAGGTAGCCACCTCATAACACTTGTCAACATATGGTTCAACCTTATCTCTCTTTGAAAATATGCAGCAAACAACATGAGCACATGGTATTCCAGTCAATTCCCATTTCCTACATGTGCAACTATGTTTGTTCAAGTCTACTACCACTTGGCCTTCAAGACATCGAACCTGAAATGTATTAGCACCATTTGGTAGAGCTCTACAGCCGAAACTACCCTCTTTAGCCGCATTTATCTTCTTCAGAATTTTTGGGCAGAATTGTCCTTTGAAATTACTCTCAGCAAATGCCTTTTTCTTTGCAAATCTAACCATCAGTTGACATCTAATAGTCTCAAACATACTAATGATTGGTTTGATTCTGGCACCTAATATGGACCTATTCCAGGATTCACAGTGGTTGTTCAACAACACATCAGTCTTGCAATTAACTCGAAAGTATGCACGACACCACTGATTCAAAGGTTTTTCCAACAACCACTCACATGCATCTTTATTATATTCCCGAAGTTCATCGACACCTTTTTTGAACTCAGCCTCATATGAAGACCTAGCAATTGCCCATAACATGTCTTTTGTGGTTTTGGTACCTGATTGAGCTCGTTGTAGGTTAGACCAAAGGTGTCTGACGCAGAATCGGTGCTCAGCATATGGTACCAGTTGTTGAAGAGCATTAACCAAACCCTGCCTCAAATTTACAAAAACATAAATCATAATTTGTAATAACATGTGCAATCTAATTTAAAATTATAATATCATATCAATTCCTAAAAGCAAGTAACTTTTCAAGTCAAGGCCAGGAAACCATAATTGGAAACCAAGCTACGTACATAATTTAAACTAATTAAACTAATTAAACTAATTGCATTTTGTCCCACTTCCAGGTATATTAAAACGTATTTGATCAAATTACCCAGGGAGACATTATTATAGTTAACATCAAGGGGTCGACAATACGAAGTTGGAAAAGAAATAACTATTACCATATACGGGTCGACAATCTGCGGGCACGCTCAAAGTTGGAATCATCTTTGGGGGGGAAGATGAAGAGGCCGTGGGACTCGTTTTGCCTACTGTTTTGTTCGGTGCCAATTATACCGTATTTGGGAGGAAGACAGAGTGGAACGTGTTTGGGAGGAAGGGGTTTATATTTGGATTCTTATTAGGTTTTCTTTGCTTCGTATATAGATGGGAGATTCCAAGGGTGAGGTGGAAAAAAATAAATTACTCACCAGATTGGTGACGTGTGGTGTGATGAGTTGGCATTTTTTTTATATATTTTTTTTCTCCGTTAATGAGATGGATGGAAAAATGGAAGGATGCACATTTAATTGATTTACATGGTACCGGATGCCCTAACTTGACTTTAGTGGTATCCTTGCCCCAATTCTCAAAGTTCAATGGTATGGGATGTATTTCTCCCTACCGTTTGGTATAAATGAATTCCATAAGTTATGAGGAATTCATTTTGAAATGAATTATTTTTGTGTTTGGTATTTAAAAGAATTCATTTTCAATTCTAAATTTGGAATTCTACGGAATTGGAGCTAGTTATATCAATTCCAAAGAATTGAGATGGAATTTCCAAATGAATTCCACAAGTATTTACTAAATTACTTATACATATGATATACCAAACATAGGAATTCATTTGACAATAAATTATATACGTCAATTCATTTTCTTTCTAAAGATTTGAATATGACATACCAAACACAAGATTTCATTTGACAATAAATTCTACACGGTAATTCATTTTACAATGAAATGAATTTTCGATTCATTTGGTACCAAACGGTCTGTTTAGCGACGCGAAAGAAAGCCTTCATTTTCCATTGACCGAAAGAAAGCCTTCATCTCCACCATTCTTATCCGATTCTCGGCGATTGCCGTCCGGCGTCGGCGCCCAGTCCTCCTTCTCTAACCTCAAGGACGATTGCCTTCCTCGTTGGCCGCGAGGGCTTGGAAATCCCTTCACGAACCCTCTTCTCCATTCCTCTCATCCTTTAACCCTAAAACCTCTCGACTGATTGTTGCGGTAAGTTTCCCCTCCTTCGCTGAGTTACAAACCGCGATTGATTGACCAGCGAACCCCATTAGGGTTTTTTCTTTTCTTTTCATTTTGATTTGTACAGTTAAGTCGACTTTTTGGGTCTGGTTTTTTAACATATTACATGTCTGCTCGGTTAAGGGCTACAATGGATGGAACATGTATTAGTTTGTTTACTTGTTATCTTTGTTGCTACAGGTGCTTGACCGTGGGGAGAAAATTGAGCTTCTGGTTGACAAAACCGAAAACCTTAGATCACAGGTATGTTTGGATTACTCTGCTTTGTCTCGTCTTCCTTAAAGCTATGCCTGTGCAGTATTTGTTCTCTTTTCTACATTCAGAGTGCCTTTACATTGTCTATGGATGATAGTACAGAATTTGTAATAGCACAGTAGCCAGAATAGCTCTATTCCTAAATGGGTCGTCACACGTTATTACCACTACTACCCTATTAGGGTTCACGTTCAAAGGATATATGAGCTGATCCCTAATATATACAGTTAACCAAACCCCTCCTAATTATTAATCCAGATTAATTACAAAGAAAATACTACTTCCCTTTGCCTACTTTTCTTTAATCATCTGCAGGCTGCTACTAATTCTTAATAATTAGTAGTGATGATGTCATTTGACCACCATTGTCATTTCTCAGGCCTACAACAGAGGAAGTTGGGGACAGGCTTTGTGCAAAGCAAAATTAACTAGTTAATTAAATTTTTGGAATTATTTTGGTGATTAATTATTTTTTTGGAATTAATTTGATAAATAAATAATTTTCTGACTGAAATTCGTAAATAAAATTATTTTTTGAAATTAATTTCGTAATTGATTAATTTTCTGAAATAATTTCATAAATAAATTATTTTATGAATGAATGAATTAATTTTCTGTTTTTTTATAATTTGGTAATTAATTTTGTGTTGGAGAGGGTCGACTCGCTGACCCGATCCGTCCCGACCCTAAAGGGTCAGACAGGGTCAAGAAGAGAACAGGGACGGGACGGGTCGATTATGCAAGCTGACCCTTTAGGAACGGGACAGACAGGATCAGGGACGAGACAAACAAATTTTCAGCCCTACTACCCTTGAATTTCCTGCCAAGCAGTATTTGCCGTTGGACCGCAATGAGCCAAAATTTTGGCCGGGTTTAATAAACCCGGCGGTCCCTTAATTTAAACGAAACGACGCCATTTTGACATAAGCTTAAACAAAAAAACAAAAAAAAAAAAAAAGAAATCAGAAGAAAAGCAGAGACGAAAACCCTACTTTGGCTGGCCCTTGCTAGCGCTCTCGTCTCTCGTCTCCCCTTGGCTCTGCTCTGCCTCTCGAACTCCCATTTTCTCAACGACCAGAGATCATCTCAGAATCGTCCTCCCCAGCAACCAAACACCACCGACAACTCGTCCTCCCCAGCAACCGAAGACATCGTCGTTCCTAGCCGTGCCACGCTGGAGAAAGAGGAGCTGCCTTCGTCGTTTGCGTACCACTGACCTACACGATACCTTCTACACTGAGATTAGAGGCAGTGTTTGTTTTCTCCTTCTCCCTTTGTCGCTGCTTCTATTCTACTTTGTACAAAATCAAACGAAAACATTGAAATAGGCTGATTCATGGGTTAGTAAACAAAACTCAATTGATGCTTTGGATGAAGATGAAGGGTAATATTGCGTTCTGTTGGGGTAAAATTAACAAAGCATTATTTTACAAATTGGTCTCCTTTAAAACGTTACAAAGTGATGAAGAAGATGAAGGAGACGAGTTCCCTAATGTTGACTTTTTTACATTTGGAGTTGCTTGAAGATATGGATTTGATTTCAAACTAAAGATCCAATTAGTAGTTTCTACTTTCTAGTTTGAGACATTGAACTTGTGGTTTGTGAACATTAAGCTTGTGGTTTGTGAACTTCGCTTGGTTGTTTTGTACTAGTTTTTAAAATTGTATTTGGATGATTATGAGGTTTATTAGGTAATGAAATCTTGCACTTTGTTGAATGTTACCTAAGCTTATTTACTCTTTTACAGTTTCTTAGGCAGTATAATCCAGTTTTATTCCGGTATTTTCCCGGTATGGTACCCTAATTTTGCCGGTACGGTTTTTTTACAAAAAAAATAAATTTTTATTCCAAAAACGGTATTTACCGGTAGGAAACAGTTGAACCATAATTGTACCACGATTTACCATGCCAAAGACGATTCCAGCTTGATGTCCGATACGGTTTCGTAATCCGGTTTAATTATATGTGTGTAGTTCTAAGGCAAAGTATTAACCCTTCGTAAAATCTACCTACCATTCTCAAACGCCAAAATTATTGCGAGGTATTTTGCCTTAAGAAAAGCAAATAAAAAATCCATTTTGTTGGGAAAGCAAGGGTTCCCTTACGGAACAACACCAATCAAACCAAGATTCTCTGCCCAACTTGACTCACTCACTACGGTTCCTCAGTACGAAGTACACGAGTTCAATCTGCTGAGCGTTAGCGACCGCCGACCCTTCCACATCGTTGTGACAACTCATAGCAGTCATCTTAGCGTAACCGACCAGGTAACCCTAGAGCTATCTCTTCCTCCTTTCAGACCACGCTACCTTCTGGGGATTCCTTGAAATTGTAAAAATGGCGATCCTTTTCTGATTAGTCTGATTGAAGGCGCTGATGGACTCCCAGTTTCTGTGCATTAACCGGATCAGCTTGCTCACTAAACCTCTCCTTCCACCGAAATCTCGTTTATTGGCCGCCGCTCCGAACTTCAACTCCCGGCCATCATCACTTCAATCCAAAGGTATTAATTATGCTGCCGGCATGTTAGCAAGTAGAGGTGTTTGACATTAATGCGGTTCTTTCCATGTCACAGGATTCCCTTTGAGCAGCATAAGGTGTGCAATGAAGTCTTATCGGTTATCTGAGCTAAATCGTGCAGAGGTCGATGGCCTGAAAGCGCGCCCTCGAATTGATTTCTCTTCCATTTTCAGTGTGGTGAGCTCTCTCTCATGAACGGAGCTAGTTACTTGAGCAGCATTCGAGTTTCCAATTGTTCGTGTTCGCTTGGGGGCATTTCCATATTGTTGATGTCTTGATTGCATCATTGTTCCTGCCAGGTGAACCCTATTGTTGATGACGTTCGCACAAGAGGGGATGCTGCAGTTAAAGAGTCGGTTATGCTTTTATGGTTTTTTTTTGCTTCTCATGATCAAAGCATTTCAGGAAGCTGGAATGCTTCAAGTTGATGCTTTTGTTGTGCAGGTACACTACAAAATTCGATAAAGTGAACCTGGATAATGTTGTTGTGGATGTTTCTGAGCTTCCCCATCCGGAGGTATTCCTGCTAGAAAAACACAAATTTTTATGTTAATCCGTCTCCCTGTGACAGGTTATTGTGTAATATGCCTTAGTCAGATTGTTATGTTGCTTAGTTTACTTTTGCATTTTTTCTGTATTGCAGCTAGATGCAGATGTTAAGAAAGCATTTGATGTTGCATATGATAACATATATGCATTTCATTTTGCTCAAAAATCTGGTGAAAAAACTGTTGAGAACATGAAGGTAAGTGATACTCGTGCCTCCTGCAAGCTTGCTTCAACATACGTTATCCATTTTTCTTCTGTAATGTTTTTGAAGTATTATAGGGTGTTAGGTGCAAACGGGTGGCAAGAAGTATTGGCTCTGTTGGTCTCTATGTTCCTGGAGGTACTGCAGTCCTACCTTCCACAGCTTTGATGCTTGCTGTTGTAAGTTGGTTGGAACTCTCATGTTAGCCATCCGTGCTCTGCTTGCCTTTATCATGGGTAGTTTAGTCTAACAATTACTTTGGTATTTTACTTCCCTGCACAGCCTGCCCAGATTGCTGGGTGCAAAACTGTTGTTCTTGCAACTCCACCTAGTCAGGATGGCAGCATATGCAAGGTATGTATTTGACATCTAAATTCTTTTATGAAAGCGACTTCCTGCTAACGAATGATTTACGTTTCAACAGGAGGTATTGTACTGTGCCAAGAAGGCTGGCGTTACCCACATTCTTAAAGCTGGAGGGGCTCAGGTTTGATATTGTTTATTGTTATGCGAGGTTATATGCAGGTATCACATTTTCATCTTCTTATTTTCTCAATCTTCTCTTACCAAGTTCAGGCTATATCTGCTATGGCATGGGGAACAGAGTCCTGCCCTAAGGTATTGGTTTTCTCTCAATGTAGGCCTTTGGAACCTAAGTGAGATAATATTTGTTTGGGTGTGTTGATGCTTTACTTGTATCCAACAATTTGTTTCCATAGTTGCTATTATAGCCTCTTTTTGTGTTTTTGTTGTGTCTGTGAAAATTGTTTTTTGAGATTCAGTCATCACTTGCAGGTTGAGAAAGTTTTTGGTCCAGGAAATCAGTATGTTACAGCTGCAAAGATGATTCTCCAGGTGTGTCCATATTCCTCCCTCTTTCATGTTTTCCTATTTCCTTTTAGCTTTGTCTGAAAATCCATGCGCTATTGAAGTTGTTTCAACTAAAAAAATCCACGGTGTTTACATCAGAACAGTGAAGCAATGATATCCATTGACATGCCAGCTGGACCTTCAGAAGTTCTGGTCATTGCTGACAGATGTGCCAGTCCAGTACATGTAGCTGCAGATCTGTTGTCTCAGGTGCTTTGTGTTCCATTCATATTCTTCCACTGTTAAATAAACCAGGAATAATGAAAGCGGTAATGTTATCTGCGGGGCAATTGTTTTCCATCTGCCAATGTGATTTATTTTGTAGCTCGGATACACCTGATGGTTTGTTTTCTGTGCTGTCCTGTTCAGGCTGAGCATGGCCCTGATAGTCAGGTTGTTCTTGTAGTTGTCGGGGATGGCATCGACATGGAAGCTATTGAACAGGAAATCAGTAAGCAGTGCCAAGCCCTTCCAAGGGGAGAGTATGCCTCGAAAGCTTTGAGCCACAGTTTTAGCGTCTATGCTCGTGATATGATAGAGGTAGGTCCTTTATCCTTCTTGATTGCAGACAATCAAGGGTGTCCAACTGTTGCCCTTATTGCACCACAAACTCAGGTTAACTTTGGCATCTCGAATTGTGGTTTCTGGGCAGGCCATCTCCTTTTCCAACTTGTATGCACCAGAGCATCTGATTATCAATGTGGAAAATGCCGAGAAATGGGAGGGTCTTGTTGAGAATGCAGGTAAGGATTTGCCTCTCCCTCCCTCCCTCATGTTATTAGCTTACAAGGGCTAATTAGTTCTTTAATCTAGGGGAATTTGTTGCCCCCCTCTTGGTAATAAACTCTTTTTGGTTTCACCGCAGGTTCTGTGTTCTTGGGTCAGTGGACGCCGGAGAGTGTCGGGGATTACGCCAGCGGGACAAACCACGTGCTTCCGACTTACGGGTATGCCCGGATGTACAGCGGAGTATCCTTGGACTCGTTCTTGAAGTATATGACAATTCAGTCTCTAACCGAAGAAGGCCTAAGAAGCCTTGGTCCATTTGTAGCTACCATGGCTGAAGTTGAAGGGCTCGATGCCCACAAGAGGGCCGTCACTCTTAGACTCCAGGATATTGAGGCCAGGCAGCAGCAACAGCGAGTCGCCACAACATAGAATACGGTCGACCGCGCTTCTCATTTTCCTTCTTTTCTTCGGTGGCCGTTGTCAGGATCCTGAGTGTTGCCCCTTTTACTTCATTCTCATACTTTGTTGATAACATGTATTCCTCTCTCGCACTCTTCTGGTGCAACGGTAAACTTTTTTGGTAGAAGCTAGTATCACATAGTATTCCTTCCAAAAGGAAAACATTTGAACTAAATACTCTGATACTTCTATGCATCTTTTATTTATCGAACAACAAGATTCTCGTTCCATATCTACACCAAGTTTGTTGCAAGGGAGTTGAAGCTTGTCCGCAGGCTATCAGGAGCTCAAGAACAGCGATCATGCAGCTTTGCAGAGCTAGTCGATCATCACAACAATGCATGAAATATCATCTTTGCTGCCTCTTGCTAAAGCTTCTGCAATCAAAGTCTTGGCTGCTTCCTTTGGATCCTCCACACCTCTGATGTAGTCGCATGCGTCCTGGTTCGACATAACCTGCCCACCCACCTTCCAGAGGCCATCACTGGCCAGAATGATGAAGTCCGTGTCATCACAATCGATGGTAACAATCTTTAGATCGGGCTCTGAAGAGATGTGATCCTTCAGCTTTGCATCATCTCCAAAAGCCCTAGACATTGCCAGCTGCCCATCCACCCGAGGCACATTCCCTGCAAGATTGTAATATTAATTCTGCAGAAACTACCGTCAGTGGATTCAAGTTGGAAGAGCATTCGCATGTGCATACCAGGCATCTCGACAACAAAACAAACCCTCATCTGCTCTCAACAAGGCCTCTCTCTTTCTCGGGCTCGTGATCAACAGACACCTGAGTCGCCATGCCATTCCTGCACAGAACCGCCCTCGAATCACCCACATTCGCCACAACCAACGTCTTCCCATCAATTAGTATGGCTGTGACTGCGGTTGATCCACCACAACGTGTTCCAGAATCTTTTGGTCCGTGGTCTTGTATGCTCCCCTGATGGCACTCTTTGGGTTCCTCCAGAAGTCGGGCTAAAGGAAGCACAAACCCAGACATGTGAGGTCAGCGTATTTAAAGATGAAGAAAAAGCTTCGGTTGTGGTTGAGGACAGTGATGTCCATGTACCTCATTCAAGTTATTGTCAAAGAGATGAGCCTGCAGATATTTGTCTACGTTGCGGCCCGAATGGCCATCAAAGATTGCATACAATCCGAGCTCATAGCCATCCACTTTCCTGTTCTCTGCCACTACATGATCTTCCATTTCATGGTCCATCTTCCCTCTCACCAAATGGCATCGATCCATGGCAGACTTTTCCGTCGGAACGTGCTGCCTCCTCATCATCGTCATTATCATCATCTTCATTGTCATCAACCTCCCCATCCTGCAGACCGAAATGGAATTCAAGGGCTTGATATCGGGGAAGTTTGAAGGGGAACACTGAAAACAGGAAAATTAAGTAGGTTCAGTTACCTCAAGGTCTGCTGGGATATCTCTGAGAAACTCTGCTGGGTCATCGTCATCATTCCTTGTTCTCCGAGACAACTGAAATGCAAAATTTTGGTCAGCTATGAAGGGCAATACCTACTCAATAAGATAGCCAAAGAGTTCAAAGAAGGGATTGAGCTGAGAGAAACGGACCGTGTCATTCGTCGTCCCAGAACTCACATCAATAGCCAAGTTTATTCGGCATTCCTTCTAACGCAAACAGAGTGCCATATACAGAACAACGGAGATGAATCAAGTTTCAAGGAAAATTAAAGCAAGCTGGGTTGTGGTAATCAACCCACATAATTGGAGATGGGACGATTAGATGCATACCTTGGGCACAAGAGAATCCACCTTATCCCTCACTATCGACTTCCTCTTCTGCAACTAGTAGTTTAAGCCATAAAGAAACAAAAAACAGAGCATATATATATATATATATAACCCTATGGGTGTAACCTTGTGATTGTGAAGAGAACCTGCGTTAAGAGGACATCGCCGTCGTTTGTCAACATGGATATCGAGCTTTTCTGCGACCAAACAACAACAAAATGGTTTCAGGTCAACCCTGTGCTGAGTTACAGAGTTCGACGTATATAGATATACCTTCATCGTAGTAGGGAGAAAAAACTGTGGTGGAAGGAAGGGAATTCCCTTGGCTAACCGTTCGCGATACATCTGTCAAAACTGAAATTGGGGGGAAGAGCTTCGTAACTAGAAGTGCAAGTGATTGGTTCGCGACTTACAGTAACCAAGGAGTTTTGAGTGTCGTATATATCGTGGAAGGAGCATTTGGTAACTTGGAGGAAGAGACAGGGAGTGACTCGCCGCTGTAAAATGTTCAAATTTACTGCTCATTAAAAAAAAATGTCAACCTCCCTCTTGTAAACACCATCTAATCCAACTGTCTCCGGACGCCGCCCACACTCACCAACGGCAACAATCATCTTCGGCCACTGACCATTATCGTCGGTCACCATCTCCAGCCACCCACGTCGGCCTACGTTCACCTGCATCGCCGACGTGTTGAATACACGTCCAACAATGGCTTGCAACGTAAATTTCACACGTCGCCGGACATGTATCCCACACGTCACCGACCGGCCATATTTTTAATTAATTAGGGATGGTCATTATAAAATAATTTTGAGTTGTCCTTATAATTTTATTTCAGATTTCACAATTTATTTTAGATTTATCCATATAATTTATTTTGGATAATGTAGAGTTGTCGTTATAATTATTTTAAATCGCTGCCGACGAGCCCCATTGAAAATGCAACACCGTTGTCAATTTTTAGTTTTTTACACTATTTCATGGAATATCTAATTAGATTCAACTATATCTATTACTAGCTTTTACCCGACCCGTTGGTCGGATAAAGTTCATTATATTTTGCACTATTTATGTTTATCAATTTATTTATATTTTAAATCATTTGAAAGTATTCATATAGATTATGTATGATTTGAAAAGAATACTTGTGGTACTCATTATTGGTGATATTATGAGCAATTAGTTCATACGTATTTTTTGTTATCTGCTCGTCCTAAATTAATGTTTCTATATCTTTTTCATATTTTAGGATAAATTTTTACCCTTGGTATTATCATGATAAATGGGTTGAGAGGTATTTATTCATAAGTTTTGTTATTATTAACTTGATTTCTATTATCTCCAAGTGAAACCAAGAAAATTATACATTGAAGTAATAATTAGAAACTTTAAGGGATTAGTCTACCGATACTCAAAATGTGGAGTACTAAATTAGTGACCAAGAAAGCTCCAGTCCAGTCCAATCCTCATATCCATCTAATCAAGAAATGTGCCAGTTGGCATAAAGAGACAAAGGTGATTGCTATTTGCTAAGATAATAAAATACTTGAGACATTAGACAAAGGTAAAAAAAAAAAAAAACCATCCAGGTTTCGCATAGTACAATTAAGTGTCTCCTGGTCTTCTAATGGGAATAATAATGTGAGAAAAGGCTTGCATAGTTATTTTTCAGCTGCACATTAGATTCAGATTGGATATCATCTGCACATGAGGTAGGGAAAAAATCCCAAGTTACACATGTTTTTAAAAAAAAAATTCTCAAAATACACACGTTATGAAAATAATTCCCAATCTACGAATGTTTGGGTATTCACCGCGGCAAAGGAGGGCGGTGATTGCATCACCGCATGAGAGAAAGACGGTGATTGCATCACCGCTATAGAGGAAGGCGGTGAAGGCCTGACCTCCGTCAAAAATTTAAAAAAACATAAGTGGTACCGAGTTAGAGCCGATTCGAATAGTGTTCGATCCACTCCAAGTAAGATCGATGACGACTTCCAAAAATGCCGACGCGACGCCCAGACGGACCCCGGAGGTACGGTTGGGACAATCACCATTAAGACGGTGTAACAATCACCATTAAGACGGTGCACATTACAGTGTTTGTCGGATTTCATATATTTAAATATATGTACCACTTAAAGAGAACATACGTGTGAATTGAAACAAAACAAAAATCCGAAGGCAGTTTTGATAACTGAAGGATCAGATTCATAAATGAAGAAGAAAATGGTGCTTTAAGCATCCAAGACCAGCTAGAGAGGACTCCAGCTCGAAGAACACCAACAATTTCCAAGATAGATACGATAATGAGTGTAGATTTTCATGCTCAACAAATGATTATCCACCTATCTTACATGGCAGAGGAAAAGCTCTAACGTCATACTCAGCCTCTGTCGAAGAGTGATCCAGAGCCAGTTTTAAGCTCTTCACAACTCACTAAGACCATCATCAACCATGAAATAGCCTACCTATTTCATTTGTGGCCCCTACTGCCACCTATACACTTTTTATAATTTCATTCTTTAACATCCATTTCATCTACATCCATGAAATCTATCTCCAATTTCATATGGTGGGCCCGATTCACATAAACAATATAACTAAATAATTATACACTCTAAACAATTGAAATGGGCCCGCTTGCTACCCACTTGCAATTTCATTTGCTCTTCCATCTAATGAAATATTTCATTATTGAAATGGGTTGCTACAACCATGAAATGGCAAATGACATTGCCATGTCACTTTGAAATAAAGAAGAGACAGCCGATGCAGCTGCTCTAAGCGGTCTGTGCACCTTCTAACTTGTCAACATGACAATAAACTCACTGGACATGGAGCCACAAAGACAACAAAAAAATAAAAACAAATTGCAGGTGTATAAAATGAATGGACAACTGGTACAATGAGACATTATAGGTCTCGTATGATCATGTTCAACTGATAATTGAACAACAATTAGAACCAGAAACTGAGACGGGTTGGATTAAAACCTGTCAACAACATATTTAATAGCATTGATAGCAACATAAGACAGTTTAGAAAGGGTATGGGATTGGAATTTTTACACTTAATATCACCAGACATAAAGAAATGATTTTTCAAAGTCAAGAAGCTAGGGAGAAGCACACAACATTTCTCTAGTCAATGCAAACAGACTGTAAATTCCATTTCAGTATGTTCTTTGGCATGAGTAAAAGTCATATGATGATCACGAAATGGGAAGAGAGTCGTGAACTACCTGTATTACTAATAGACATACCAATCCCATCATAGTTCTATCTAAGGTAGTGAAAATAAGGGGATATATACTATGAAACAGAGAATCAAACTTTCTCCTACAAAATGATAGAAACTGAAAAATACAAACTATACAACCATAATCATTTAGGCCAAAGCATGATAAGCACACAACATTTCTCTAGAAAGCACAAACAGACTGTAAAATCCCATTTCAGTATGTTCTTCGACATGAGTAAAAGTCATATGATGATCACGAAAAGGGAAGAGAGTCTTGTGAACTACCTGTATTACTAATATACTTACCAATCCCATCATAGTTCTATCTAACGTAGTAAAACCAAGGGGCTATATACTATGAAACAAAGAATCAAAATTTCTCCACAAAATGAGAGAAACTGACGAATACAAAGTATACAACCATAATCATTTAGGCCAAAGCATGCCATTATAGTCATGCATCGCAGAACGTGAAATCCTTCTCATTAAGAATAACTATATGGTTTTTTATGAATCTAACGTCTGGAATAAATACAGCCGCCACCAATTCCATACACGTTTCCTTTCAGTTGCATAACCATTCTCAAAATTGGTCTCAAATAGAGGATATGGTTGTTCACAAAATCAGCTTATATGAAGACGAACACGAAATGTGAATCGACGATGCATAGACAAAGACATGATAACCTACCAATTCAAAGATTAGAGTCCAGAATACCTTAGCAGCTATGGATTTAGCATATGACAAACTCTTCAGCAAATTGGATGACAATCTGCACGCAGGGAAAGTATCAGGAAATTGTGTAACAATTAGGAACATGACAACATGAGAATTTGGGGAAGCAAATGGTACCCTGCCTTTTCGATGTTTACACACTTCGGAAAAGAGAGGCTTCATAAGGTTTGTGAACCTTATCTCCATAAGGAAGAAGATCCCGAGGAACATCCAAATAACTGTCTATGCATATTCTGCAATACGAAGAAGATCAGTTTTATAGTAGTACTAGTAAGCATGGCAATAGGCTTTATCGATTCCAATAACTCAAACTTTGAAATTTGTCAAATGAAATAAAGTTCATAATTTTTCTGAGCACGAAAATACCAAACAGAGGAAATGAGAATGACTTTAAAATGGAAGAGGACAAAATAACATTGTATGATTACAATTGAATGGCTGCATCCTCCTTTACATAAGAGCTGAGCAGCTGCTTACCGTGTAGCCCAAACTCCAATTTAATAAGACTAAGAATGAGGTCTGTGAAGGTAATACGACTTCTATCTTTGTTGACATCGTTGCTGCTACAGTAGGAAAAGGTTAACGCAAAGGAATCAGAGACTTGCATTTTGGATTGCCAATTCAGAGGTAGGGAATAGCAGTAATTAAACCAAACTAATAAACATTTAACCTTGTAAATTAAATCAATTTGCACATAATGAATGATGAAGGGACATGATTTCGGTAACTCCCATCTCCCTAACCAATGTTATTTGTCCATCCTAAAAAACAAATGGCACTAAAAAGTAACAATGATGTTAATGAATACTAACCTGAAGGCAATGAATAAAAACATAGAGGTAGATGAAATCCTAAAGAAATCAACTCTTCAACCAGTAGCCTAATCCATCGCGTTGACAGAACCAGCTTTCCATCAATGGCGGTGGGTTGCAATTCTTCCCCTGATCGACGAACCCTATAGTAGGTAAATATCAAGCAATAGATGGGTGTTTTAGTCGCAATATGAAGAAAATCACAGCAGTTTAAATGAAGACAACTCCATCGGAAAACAGGTGTCCCCTGTCCAAGCATATGGTATGGCGGGCCTGTGCAAACTTGAAGCCCATGAGTCGGCTTTCGTTTGAGGGGGCGTGTAAGGAAGTGGTTAAGCACCACACACGGACCTGTATAAGATCCAGCATAATCTTCTCCCAACAACTCGAGTTATTGGGACCAACTGGTTTATGACAATGTTGCGGTTACTTAAACCGTGTTAGTATTGGGCCTTGTTGGGGCTCGTCTGATTCGTTGGATTAGGGTTTTAACCCTAAGTTTATCTATATAAGCTTAGCTATCGACTTGTGTGATAGCAAGCCGTCACAATGTAGTCCCTAATAAAATATCAGTCGTGACCGTGGATTAGTCTCGATCGATTAATCGATCGAGAATACCACGTAAAATCTTGTATCCCGTGTGTTATTTCACTTCCGCATCATCAAATTCTTCATGGTATGAGAGCGAATCTCGATCCTTGAATAGGGTTTGAGCTTCCATCCTTCCGCTTCTGTGGTTTCTCGATTTGGATGAGCAGTCCAGCTCTCCGTGAGTCCAGTTGACCTAGGCGAAGTCCATTCCGTCGTGGTTCGCAATCATCCCTGTATAGCCATCATACAAGTTTGGCGACTTAACCTCACGGCTTTCACTCGTCGAGTCATTGAGGCTTTCATTGCGTTACTTCGAGGTCCACAGCCAGTTAAGGCCCATTGCTTCCCGAAGCTTCCTTTATGAGATCGACTATCCTGACGTCACAAAGCCGCCATGTGCCTGATTCTCATGGAGTCCAATCTTCCCAGAATTGCCCATTGGTGTTCAGGGCCGATTCTAGTCCTCTTCAAGCTGCTGATCTTCCACCTGCTCGCTGCTCTTTGTGCCAAAAATCAATCTCTCTCCGGGTCCTCGTCGCATCCGAGAAAAGTCCCTGATTTCAGGCAGATCCAGGTTTGTCCGACTCGATCTTCTCGTCCCCGCCAATCCAGCATCGCCGCCTTCGTCACCATCAAACACGGCTGCCATCGTGCTATCTCCGAGCTCCCGCCGTTCTTCTATCTCCGCCGTTGATTTCTTCGCCAGAGAAGAAAAGTTGCGGATGTTCAGGTGAGCGCATTAAGGAGAAGGTTTTCCCCAAATAAGTCGTCATCACCAAAGAGGCAGAAGGGTATCCCCTTTCATGCCGTCCTCACCTAGTCACCTACGAATGGGTCGTCCAAATTCCAAGATTGGGCATGCATCCATTCACACTTCAAGTGTTGCCGAAGTGGTCCTTATGGGCTCAACAAGTTTTACGTGGGAAGCTTTAAGCTACCAAATCAATTTTTTGGGCTTCAGTGGTTTTTGCAAAATCAGTGGCCGGGTTGGCCAGTTATTTTTTTCTGTTTGCAGGCAAGCAAATCCTCAAGCATAGAAGCAGTGAAGCATTCTCAATTCAAAGTTTGATTGACCCTTCACTTGTCATTGTTTGAGTGATAGAAAACTTCCGCAAGTAAAGATAGTCAAGTATCAGTCGAGGCATTCACGATCCATAAAATGGTCGTTCCTTGGCATTCAAAAGGTAGTAAGATCAAAGAAGTAGTCGTCCCTTCATCGTCCAGTTGGAATTCACGATCAAAGAAATGGTCGTCCCCTCTTCCGGTTTATTATTGGGCACATATCAACCATTCATCGCTTTTCAAGCCGGGCATCACTATGTTCATGCTCCAGCTTGAGGGGAAGAATAGGAGGTCAACATACGTCGGTCGACTAGCTCAGTCATCAAGTCGACCGCGATGTACCAAGTGTGTTCAAGTTCAAGAGACGAAGTCAATCGTCTCCATCATCAGGTTGTTCAGAGAGAGTCAGTCGTCTCCAATCAACCTCGTCCGAGATGTTATTCATCTCGAGTTTTGTGGTTCAAGCCATCATGCTCGTTCTTCACATTTTCTTCAAGCTCGACATTCTTGTCATTCATGTCTTCGCTTGAGGGGGAGTGTTGCGGTTACTTAAACCGTGTTAGTATTGGGCCTTGTTGGGCCTCGTTTGATTCGTTGGATTAGGGTTTTAACCCTAAGTTTATCTATGTAAGCTTAGCTATCGACTTGTGTGATAGCAAGCCGTCACAATGTAGTCCCTAATAAAATATCAGTCGTGAGCTTGCTCCGAGCTCACCGTGGATTAGTCTCGATCAATCAATCGATCGAGGATACCACATAAAATCTTGTGTCCCGTGTGTTATTTCACTTCCGCATCATCAAATTCTTCAATTTGCACATAATGAATGATGAAGCGACATGATTTCGGTAACTCCCATCTCCCTTACCAATGTTATTTTTCCATCCTAAAAAACAAATGGCACTAAAAAGTAACAATGATGTTAACGAATACTAACCTGAAGGCAATGAATAAAAACATACCCTTCAACCGGTAGCCTAATCCATCGCGTTGACAGAACCAGCTTTCCATCAATGGCGATGGGTTGCAATTCTTCCCCTGATCGATGAACCCTATAGTAAAAGGTAAATATCAAGCAATAGATGGGTGTTTCAGTCGCAATATGAAGAAAATCACAACAGTTTAAATGAAGACAACTCCGTCGGAAAACAGGTGTCACCTGTCCGCCTCCCTTCTCCCTTCACCGCCACTTCTGCTTTCCCCTTGACAGATGGAGAACTTGGTTTTGCACACCTTGGATTGAGAGTACCAGAGAAGGAAGTTAGGAAAGGGTTTTAGACGGTGGTGAAAGGCTGGTAGGCGACATACAAAGCAACTTGCGGAGTAAAGAGGGAAACCGCCGCTGTAGCGGTCGGAGTAGAAACCGGTGTAGCGGTTTTTCTTTAGGAGTGGAGGAGGTTGGTGGTGTAGAACTGTGTTGGATGCAGTTTCGGTTGAGCGTGCGGTTCTGTCTGGGAAGGAACCAGAAAAAGAGAGAGAGGGAGGCCGGTTTCTGTCGACGAGAGAAGATGAAAGGCCCCCTAAATGGGCTGCCAGTTGAGCCTGCTAAAATCCCTCTACGGTAGGAATGACAATGAGGCAAGTCCGGGGCGTGTTTCTTGGTAACCAAACCCGCCCCGTGGCAGGTTGGGTCCAGGTCGGGTAATTTATCACGGGTCGCGGGTAGGGGCAGGTCGACCCATTGGGTATGGAATTTATATGAAAAACATTAGAAATATTCGTTATTTATATTATAAGATCAAGAAAACAAACAATATTATGACAAATGTAGTTATTTCTTGGAGAAATTGAGGTTTTCACTAATTTACAACTTTATTATAGCTAAAATATGATGTAATAAAAGGAAAATCCTAAGTAATTTGACTAAAATTACATGTAATTCAGGAAAGAACAGGTCGAGAATGAGGCGGGTCAGGGCAGGTCGGGTCGATCAGAGTTCCATGCCCGCCTCACCTAAGACAGGCCAAACAGGTCGGGTAAAACGAGTCAGGTCGAAATTGCCATCCCTACTCTACGGGAAGGAAAATTTGAATGAGGTTGCAGTTTTACTTTTCAACTATAAATGATAGTGTTGATTTGTTCGTGCAGTATCATCAACCGCATCAACTAATAATCAACTACTTATTTTATCAATATTTTTTAATCGATTTTATTTACCAATGACATAAGACCTTGTTAACAGCTCCTTATATAATTTTTGTAACCCAAGTACCATTTTCTTTATTATTTTAAATGAAACAAATAATGATCTTCCATTTTCTCCATATAAAACACTACAAGGAACTTGTCCACTTGGTGCATGTACGTTTCTTCTTTACGAAATAAACATACCTACACTTTGCCGTGGCTTAATAAGACACGTAACACATAAAAAAAGATATGCAACATACATAATTGGAAATGAAAAAAAAAAAAAAACAAATGCATGAGTAGTAGTGTAGTACTCATGAAGAAAGACGCATTAATTATATTCCCGCAATAACTCCTCCAACCTTGATCATCATCAAAACTTGGACTGCATATAATTCACCGTCGCGACGTCCAAAGAGAAAGACTTGGCCAGGATGTCAGCACTGATCCCCGGCTGGGAACCAAACACTGCGTTGGCGATGGTAATGGCTCCGGGGTTCTGGCTGGAGAGCGCCGCAATGGCGACGGCGGGCGCGTTCCAGTTGGTGTTGCGCTGGTAGTGGACGGTGTTGGAGGGGAAGACGAAGACGTCGCCTTTGTACAAGGTCTTGGTGAAATGGTTGTTGTTTGGGTTGGAGGTGACGAATCCGACCTCAAGGCTGCCTTCGAGAACGGTGAGGATCTCGGTGGCGCGTGGGTGCGTGTGGGGTGGGTTCTGGCCGCCGGCTGCGTAGTCGATGCGGACCATGGAGATTCCCAGCGTGTTGAGGCCGGGGAGCTGCGCGGCAAAGACCGGAGTGACCCTGGAGCCTTGTGCGTTGCTGGTGTTGCCTGCCACGTGGAGGCCTCGGAAGTAGAAGTCGTTTGCGGTGACGGTGCTTGGGTTCTTGCAGGCCACGCCATTCAGCAATACTGTTATAAAGTTCGAGTTGTTAGAAGAAGGTTAATTATAAATTTCTTACGTACGTCGAGAATGGCTAGAATGAAAAGTTATGCAAACCTGAACTGGTGGCATCTGCAACGCAGAAGTCTTGGAGATGGCCGGGATCAGAGGCCAAAGCAAGCTGAAGGGAGAGGAAGCTGAGAGCCACCATGAGGCCAAAGAAGAAGCTAGCAACTGAAGTCATGTCTGCGCTTAATGATGAGCTAATTAAGAAAAGAGTTGAGAGATGTACTGATGAGAGGTAGCGAGCGAGTTGTGGATATGTTGAACGGCCACATCGGTTGCTTTATATACATAGGAGGAGAGAGATGAAAAGTAAGAGAGACTTAGCCATGGCCGGCCGGCCGCCCTCAGTGTTGAAACGGCAGTGAACAGTGGTAGGATACGCGTGCAGATTGGCCAAATGGGTGGACGGGGTCTCGCCGGCCGGCAGTGTTTTAACATATACTACTTTGGCATATCGATACCGAACGGCCATGTCGAATTCAGAACGCTGTAAGCTAGCTGGTGTCCGCTTCCCTACGGGTAGGCTGTTATTGGCAGTTAGGATTAGGATTTAGGAACCACATAAAGTGTGTCTAGTATGCCTGTGTTCTTCACTCCAGCTCATCTAACATTGTCAACACGTTTTAAAGAGGAGGTCAAAATGTAGACAAGTAGTTGTAAACAGTGGCGGACCCAGAAATTTTTCATAGGGGTGTCCTCTTTTGAAAAATAAATTAAATAAAAATAATATCGTAAATATGAAAATACCTTACTCGTACAGGTTAAAAAAGTCCATGATATGTTTTCATATTCGAAAATAATTGTAGAATACACTTGGTGTTTATAGTGTTAAAAAAAAATCTCTATATACCCTACTAGACAATCATTCAGGAACTTATCGCATATTCGATTTGTAAAATTGTTCTTGATGTAACCCAAAGCTGAAAGACTCTTCAACACTTGCCGTACAATCATAAAATCAATACAAATTAAGGGTAGATTGAAATTAGATTAGATTGAAATAATTAGAGATAGGGAATGACTTTTTACTATTACACATTGTTCAAAATTGAACACCAAATGAGTTGTAGCTCAACGGAAATTAAGTTTATTAATAATAATAGTGTTCTAGATTTGAATTACCCAACCTACCATTTATATTTTTATACACAAATGACAGTAGGATAATCATTTTTTCAAATTTCAGGGGTGTCCCTCACTATCAATTATATTTTTTTGTCTATACGTAAATTACCACCGGGGGTTGGATAATCATTTTCCCAAAATTTAGGGGGTGTCCGGGGACACCCCTAAAACCCCCTGGGTCCGCCCCTGGTTGTAAATATATAGTGGTGTTAGATTGAAAAAGTTCAAATATGATACTTTTTTCATGGATCATCATGAAAAGTAATTGGGTACTAGGTGACATCACCGGGACAGGAAGATGCCTTCTGATTAATGCATTGGCGATGTCAAATGTTATAGTCATGACATTCAATTTTGTTAGCATTCTACTAACACTATTTCCAGCAATATGAACATTTCATTTAGTTACTTTATTTTAACCGGATTGGCTACAATAAATGCGAAATTCTGAAGGGCTTGTCATTTTTAAATTTTTTAAAGATGAAGACTCACACTTCCTTTCCTTAATTAGCTAACAACAACCACATGTGTCATGAAGTAGACCATAAAGCACATGGAGCCTGATATGGACTGCTAAATAGATTCCATCATAAACAGAACAAATACATCATAAACAATATAAAGTTGACCGAAAATCTTATAAAACAGACCAAAATCTCACCATTGAAACAACAAGTGTATTATCTTGAGAGCAAGTTGGCATATCGCTACGGGGAGCCAGGAGAAACGATGTTAGGGGCGGGACCCTAATGCGGTGTGTGTTGGTTTTGGCTGTTATAGGTGGAAAGGGAAAGACGAAATCTGGTAAAGGAAATTCGAACAAGAATTCCAAGGGTCCCGGTCCACAGCCAGATGATGCTTGTCACAACTGTAAGGAAGTAGGGCATTGGAAGTACAACTGTCCTAGGAGAAGACGGCAACAGAAGAAACAAGGTTCAGTTGCCGTGGCAGAAGTGGACAACAGTTCTGAAGACGATCTCGCCTTGGATGTAGATGAGAAGACACATTGTGGGGATGTGTGGTTTCTGGATACTGCAGCCTCATACCATATGTCTCCGAACAGGGATTGCTTCACAACCTAAGAGCAGATAGATGGTGGTAATGTGGTCATGGCAAACGGAGCTGTCTGCAAGGTTGTTGGAATCGGGTCCATAAAGGTTTGGGCACATGGTGGTTCGTTCTATACCGTGAATGATGTCAGACATGTTCCACGAACGACAAAGAACCTGATCTCCTTGAGTCTACTCGATAGCAAGGGTTTCAACTTCAAAGGTAAATGTGGAGTTGTGTATGTCTGCAAAGGTTCAAGGAAGGTGCTGAAGGGCGTGAAGCGTGGGACCTTGTATGCATTACAAGGGTCTATGTTGTCTGGTTCTGCTGCAGTTGCATCGTCTCAGGTTCATACGGAAGATATGACCACTCTCTGGCACATGAGACTGAGGCATATGAGTGAACGAGGAATGCAAGTTCTATCAAAGAGGGATCTTCTTTGAGGGCACAAGGTGAAAAATTTGGAATTCTGTGAGCACCGTGTGTTTGGGAATCTACATCGCAGCAAGTTTCCCAAGAAGGGTTTCCATCGGACAGAGGGGATACTGGATTACCTCCGGTTCGACTATTGGGGTCCTTCACGAGTTGAATCCATTGGAGGCAACATGTATTTTCTGTCTATTATTGATGATTATTTGAGATTTACTTGGATTTTCATGATGAAGCAAAAAAATGAGGCTTTCACGAAGTTCAAGCAGTGGAAGACATTGGTGGAGAATCAGACCAGAAAGAAGATCAAGAAGCTGCGAACGGACAATGGTCTGGAGTTCTGTAGTTTTGAGTTCAATGAATTCTGCAAGGATGAAGGGATTGCCCGTCATCGGACCGTTATAGATACACCCCATCAAAATGGGGTTGTAGAAAGAATGAACCATACATTGTTGGAGAGATCATGATGCATGCTCTCTAATGCTGGACTAGAGAGAAGATTCTAGGTAGAAGCAGTGAACATGGCGTGGTTCCTGATCAATCGTGGACCTCACACAGGTATCGAGTGTAAGACTCATTATGAAGTGTGGTATGGTAAGCCTGCTGATTACTCTTTACTGAAAGTTTTTGGGTGTCCTGTTTATTATCATGTGGGATGAGGGTAAGCTGAGCCCAAGGGCAAAGAAGGGTGTATTTGTAGGTTACGGAGATGGAGTTAAGGGATTTTGAGCTGGTCACCTTCTGAGCATCGAGTTATACTCAGTAGAAATGTGATATTTGATGAGAAGTCTATGTTTAACCACATGTTGAAGGTTACTGTTGTTGAAGGTAGCAAGAATGTTGATAAATAGGTGGAGCTGCAAACTCTCAAAGAGAGTGAGTTTGAGCACCAAGGTGGAGAAGATCAACATGATGATGATGTCTCTGCAGATCAAGAAATTTCAGAGTCCAGTGCACGAGCTCAACAGTCTATGGCTTCCGGTAGACCGAAGAGAGCGACTGCAGGCGTAACTCCATAGAGCTATGGCTTCGAGGACATGGTGGCGTATTCATTTCAGGTTGCTGAAGAAGTGGATGCAGGAGAGCCACAATCCTATAGAGAAGCAGTTTCGGGTGGTGAAGCTGATCAGTGGCTTGCCGCAATGGGAGATGAGATGGAATCCCATAATAGGAATCAAACTTGGGAGCTAGTCAAACGACCACAGGGAAGGAAGATTGTGACAAACAGGTGGATCTACAAGAAGAAGGAAGGAATCAGTTCTGAAGAGGGCATTTAATTTAAAGCTCAGGTGGTTGTCCGAGGCTTCTCGCAGAGGGAAGGAGTTGACTACAATGAGATTTTCTCCCAAGTGTTCAGAAATACTTAGATCATGGTGCTACTAGCAATAGTGGCGCATTATGACTTGGAGCTCGAGCAACTAGACGTGAAGACAGCTTTCCTACATGGAGAGCTGGAGGAAGAAATTTATATGACTCAGCAGAAGGATTCCAGGTTCCAGGAAAGGAAGACTATGTTTGTAAGCTGAAGAAGTCCTTGTATGGACTTAAGCAATCTCTGAGGTAGTGGTACAAGTGATTTGACAGTTACATGCTTGAGCTGGGCTACAACAGAAGTCCATATGATTATTGTGCATATAACAGTAAGGCAGATGATGGTTCGATGATATATCTAGTTCTGTATGTGGATGAAGTTTGATATCCATAAGTTAAAGGGGCTTCTCAGTGCTGAGTTTGAGATGGAGGATCTGGGATCTGCTCAGAAGATCTTGGGTATGGAGATTTACAGGGACCGGTCAAAGAAGAATCTTTTATTGTCACAGAAGACCTACATCCAGAAGATACTGTCGAGGTTTGGCATGTCTTAAGCAAAGCCTTTAAATACTCCTAGTGCCTCAAATATTCATCTATCCTCAGCTTATGCACCGCAGTCAGAGGCTGAGAAGGAGTACATGTCGAGAGTCCCATATGCTAGTGCAGTAGATAGCTTGATGTACGCTATGGTATGCACTAAACCTGATCTTGCACATGTTGTTAGTGTTGTCAGTAGGTTCATGATACAACCTAGGAAGAAGCATTGGCAGGTTGTGAAGAGGATCTTCCGATACCTTAAGGGTACACCTGATGTGGGGATTAGCTTCGGTAGTGATACAGAGTGCTTGGTGTCTGGGTATTCTGATTCGGACTATGCTGGAGATGTTGACACGAGGAGATCGATGATAGGTTATGTATTCACTCTTGGGAGTTCTGTATTGAGCTGGAAGGAAACTCTGCAGTCGGTGATGACATTGTCTACTACTGAGGCATAGTATATGGCGTTGACAGAAGCTGCTAAGGAGGGAATATGGTTGAAGGGACTGGTTGGTGATCTGGGTCTACATCATGATCAGGCAGTGGTGTATTGCGACATTTTGAGTGCAATATGCTTGGTCAAGGATCAAGTCCACCATGAGAGGACTAAGCACATCGACGTGAGGTATCATTTCTTGAGGACAGAGAAGAGGATTAAGGTGAAGAAGGTTTGCACCGCGGATAATCCTGCTGATATGTTCACGAAGCCGGTTCCACATGGCAAGTTCAACACTGCTTGGACTTGCTGAATGTCTTGAGTGGGTGACTTCGCCCTACAGGGCATTGATGGCGGGAGAGAGAGAGAAGGAGAAGAGTACATAGAGATTTTAGAGGAAGAAGATTCAAGTCAAGGTGGAGATTTGTTGATGTGACTTGAATCGGACTATCAGTGAAGTTTTCTCCCGCAGAGACAATAAGAATCAAATTCCCATTTTTATAATAGGCATGCTGAACCGATGGCATTTATTAGCCCAGTGCATCACTGTTTTTCTTAACTAGAATTAAAAAAGAACAGGAATAGTGCTTACCTATTTCCAACAATTGTCGAATGCCATTTCTTTCCTCTTCGGGGAACCAACAATGACCAGTGTTTCCCCACACTTCCAAAGACATTTGCATGGAAAGTGTAATATGTACATATCCATGAATACACTAGTTTCTAATGAATGTCAATACTTTTTTTCTCTTGCCACGCTTCAACAAAGAACACTCTAAGATTGTCAGGAAACTGGTAGGAAAGAATCGATTGAAAGCGTGATTAGATCACTCTGCTTAGAGTGTTATTTGCCCCCACTACAAATTTCTAGTAGGCTCGAGCAAACCACCCCCTAAAGTC